TCAGTGGTGAGTCTTCTGCTAAGAGGAATATATCTAATATTTTCTGATGATAATCTTCCCATATACATCCATAGTTTTTTTTTTTTTTAAAGAATCAACTTTAGTATAAGATTCATCTTAACAATTATTTTTGGAATCATATTTTGAAATTCTTGATATGGTCATTCTGTTGTACTTAAATTGTTTTGCAGTTAATGTAATTGCACCTTCTGCAACTTTTCTTGTGATGCATCAAGAATTGGACAATCACAACTTGATTTTCTTGAAAACTCCCCCCCCTTTTTTTAAATTTTATTTTTACAATAGGTTGCTGTTCTATTGAAATAAAATAATCAATTTCGATCAGCAGATGGAATTAGAAAAATAATCGTAATTCATAATAATTATAATTCATATAATTAGGTTAACCTAAAAATTGAAAAATGCTTCAAAACAAGTGATAGGTTTCATGAAATTGTGATTTTGTTTGAAGGCCTCACAGATTTGTGCTACAATATAAATTACAGCTGCATTCGCCAATAATTCCCATTTAAACATGCACTTGCTGCTATTATTATGTGACAGAGTGAGTGTCTGCTTTTCTTATGTTTGAACATTTTAGTCATTTAACTACCTTGTAAGATCTAAAATATATAGTAATAATTTACAAAATATGTCTTTAGCTCAAGAGCAAAAGCAGCTGACAAGAAATAAAATGCTTAAATGTGCATGACATGATTAAAGATATGAAAAGTCTTTAACTTTCATATAAATTATGCTGCCCTTTGTCAAGAAGAGGAGCATAGTAAGAGGATAGAACTTTGTTTTTTTCTCAAAAAACTAGGGGAAATTCGTGAAATTTGGAGGACTTGGGCAAAACAAGAAAAATTAAGCAAGCAGGTAAAACCTGCTTAAAATATAATTTTGAAAAAGGCAAACAGGCAGACAACAGAAAAACAAATCATATTAGAAAAACTCATTTCAGTAAATTTTATGTTGATGCAGTGTAAATCTGGAAGAATAATAGAAGGAAACTTGTGAACTAACTGTATAGAGAGACCGTAAACCTGTGGGAGTAGCATACATACTTTTTAAATATTTGTGATGCATTTTAGAAATGTAAGGTAAAGCAGCCACTTTACATTGGTATACTACTATATGAAACTATCTTGTATGTATGTATGTATGTATGTATTTAAATATGGCAAAGCACACGAGGGCTATCTGCCTAAGGGGAGGGATGCCTTTCGTGGAGGACTTTCTAAGGGAAACTGGCTCGTATACACGTTACACATGGGGAAAACCACGAAAACGCCCATGCAGCCAGCCCGTTCGCGGGATTCGAACCTCGGACCGAACTACCAGTGTTCAGCGACTTTATCGCTCGGCCGCTGGTGGGCTGAAACTATCTTGAGTTGCACTATAGGTAATGTTCACAATTTAAGACATTTTATTGAGCAAAATGTTAAAACCACCTTTCCTGAAAGACTTTTTTCTTTGTGTCTATATAAAGTCTATTCCAATTCAGAGAAGACCTGTAATTTGAGGTAGGTGTATTAATTAGACTAGGAGATTTTCACCTTTCTTTTGTATCATTTAAACTCTTTTTTTTTTTTTTTTTTAAATTTCTTTCTGTTTTTTTCCTCTGTGATCAGGATATTGCTTGTCATGCTTTAAACAGTTTACAGAAAATTGCATTTGGACTTTTTCTGTTGGAACTCCAGATTAAATTTTTTTAAAAGCTTATAAAGAAAAAAGAAGGATTTGCAGCAAGTGGTGATTACTAGACTCTTTATGATAGGAATGTGATATACTTTGGATATGAAGTATGAAGAATAGTATGGTGATTCATAATTAGGTTCAGAATTGTGAAAAATAAATGTTTTTGAATCTAGGCATATTTGGGACTGGCAGTTTTAGAGCTAGAAAATGAAGCATAATTGCAGTATGAAGTTATTCTGAACATTGGTCTTAACAATGAAAACTTTGTGAGAGATGGGATGATTGGAGTGAAAGTTAAGATAGCTACTGGTGTTAAAAAATTTTCTGTGGACCAAAGTAAAATGCTGCAGTTGGAAAATTTGAAAACTGATACTTATGGAAAAGAATGCTTATATCCATTCCAAAGCTGTTCATTGCATTTGATTAGAAAAAATTGTGGTCATTTGCCAGAAATTTTCTAATTTTGCAAGCAGCAAAGTCATTCCCATAACTTGGCTATTTTAATTTCCTTTATATTCATATTTAGAACACAAGCAATTCACTTTCAAAATTGCATTTTTAGTAATTATATAATTATATAAATAATTACAACTCAGTTTAATTTGCATATGTATGCTAACTGTATATAACTACTAGTTATAATACCAGCTTTATGTTACTTTCACTTGAATAATGATTTCTCCTTATTTTAAAGAAATTATTACATTGCAGTTCTTTAAATAGTCATTTCTAAAACCTGAGTAATTGTTTTTGGTGGGGGGGGGTAATATGATTTTACTTTTCCTGTACAGTGTGCTAACTTTTTTAACGTATTTTAAAGTGTTTTCTAAATTTTAAATATATGATAATTTGTAACATTTATCACAATCATAAAACCAGATTTTAAAAATGAAATCAAATATTCTTCATCTGTGCATAGAATGTGGATCAGAGAACTTTCTTTTAGTAGGCAGTATCTTTTGTTTATTAAAGTTATTAGTATTAGTGTCTGCTGTTGTAAACTCGCTAGTCACTGTTCTGCAACTTAGTGGGAAAAGTGAATGTTATTATTATTATAATTATTTTATATATGTTTCCTGTGATACTTAGAAAAACTTGCTTCTTGAAAAACCTGATCTGCCATTAAGTCTCAAATCATATTTTCCATTGAAATTTCTAGATTTGCTGTTTCTCTTAACTTCGTTTACTGTAAAGCAATAGTAATATATGTCTTTCTTAAAGACTTTTTTCATCAACTATTTCAAATATATAATCTCTTCTCATTGCATGCATTGAAACAGTTTTTGGAATTTTGAGTATTTACATAAGTTGCTGTGTAATCTCTACATATAATAAAAGAGTCTGTCTGTGTCTTTCGTTCATGCTGCATGTAAGTTAATAGACCCACGGCTACGACATTTGGTACATAGGTGCATCTAGACGAGAGCCGGTGCACCTTGAAGCGATTTTTTTCGAAATTCGAATTTTTATTATTTTATGTTTTGTAATAAAATCGCGTCATTTTGAGACATAATGGGCTATAGGAAAGCGAGATTTTACTCTACACACTCCATTTTCACATCGTCATGAAATGTAGGTACTTAGCTATTTTATGAACATAAAATAAATTTCGTTTTTCAATAAATCAATTAAATACAAATTTATTTAACAAAGGGACCTTAACACCTTTGGAACGGGATTTTTTCTAAAAAAGTTTATTTTTAAGAATGTACAGTTTATTTTTCTTTGATTTTTGGACACGTTAAACTTTTATCCTTGCGACTGCTTTTACAAAAAGAATTTTGGAAAAATGACAATATTTTGTATTTTTAAATTTTTTATTAAATGAAGCTTCTGAGTACACATCTCACATCTTTAAAAATGTGATTTTGACAACAATTTTCCTTTCTTATTGTTGTTGATAGATTTTTGATGAAATCGCATCATTTTGAATAGTTTCATTCTTTTAGAAATATGGGTTTGGCAACAATTTTTCATCGTATTTCTTATGTCACTGTTTTTAAGAGATTGGCATATTTCATTGTCATTTTTTATATATATAATACATTTTTATTGATTTTTTTTTAATAAAGTTGTTCTGCGGAGTAAAGTTCTGTGCAGAATTTTATGTTTTTCGAGTTTCTTTCATATTATTTTTTGCTTATTTCACTGTTTGTAAGATATTGAAAAATTTTGCATGATTTTTTTTCTTCAACAGAAAGTTGATTAATTTTTTTTATATGTAATATATTTTTTAAAAATTTGTGTTTTTTTTTTTTCCGGAAGTTTTCTGCAGAGTAAAATTCTGCGCAGTTTTTAAATTTAAGGTTTGGTGTTCCCTTCAGGCATTTTTACGGTATATTTAAAAGCCAGAGGCCCACATTAAGTCTCAATTACACAGTTTTTCCTCATGTGAATGTTACTAGCTACTGTTTCTGAGAATGATGTAATTACAGTCTTGTGCCATGGTTAATTTCCTTTCAGACAAAATTCTCAATTAAAGTGGTGCAAAAAATAGCTTTTTATAATGTTTAAAAACAACACTATAAAAATATATTGGTTTTTCAGAATAAACAAATTAAGTGTGTCAAACTTAATTGTACATTTAGTAGTGACTTGATAGAAGGAATTCCTGACTGACTGCATCTTCATTGTTCATAAATTAATCCATATTTTATTCATCTTTAGATCTAAAACAGGTATTTGTAGAAATAAAGTTGTGCTTCATTATTCTATTCATATGAAAGATAACTTTCTGCTATTATATCATAGAATTATAATTTAATAATTCTCTTATGATTTTTATTTAGTATGATAAATATGTGTATATAGTAGCATTTATAGTAGTCTTATTTGCATGCAGTTATTAATTGTTCTCTGTTTTCTTTTTCTTAGTATAATTTCTCCCAGAAATCTATGAGAAAGGTTTTATATGCGCTAGTTTCACTGTGAAATATTTAGAGAATAAATTTAGTAAATCTGTAAATATAATACTTGTTACTGTTAAATAATGTTTTTCAATTTCTTTAAGTAGTTTACTTTCAAATGAAAAAAGTGTATGCCATTTGAAAATTAGAATAGTTATTTTCTAACATTTTCACAATAATAATTATTTAGAATTTTTAAAAATGTATAAATATAGATGTTATTTTTTTAACATATGTATAAATTCCTGTTTATTAAATATTAGGAGTTTAATTATATTTGATAGTCTATTGTTATTGAATTTTAGAGGGTTTTTTCTATTTTCATTTTGATTATTTTGTGTGTAATGAACTTTATTATGAATAAATGTATTTAAAGTAAATAAAACTTTTCAGGTTAAACAACAATCTGATATTGTTGAAGATCTTACAATGGAGGTAATATTCTTATTATTATCAGATATTTCACAAAAACCTTATTGAAATGTTAATGAATGGACTACACAAAACTGAATTATCTATTTCTTGATTTATTATATATAAGTAAATTGACTCAATTAAATATCTTTCTTTTATCATCATTTATAAAATATTTGATTGTCTGAAAGAAATTGGGTTTTGTATTATGCCTAAGGAAACTTATGAAATGAAAGTCTCATGAATCGAACTCATTCATCTGCCTAAAAAAAGTTCAGATGAAGAATCAATTTGTACAAGTTTTTAGACAGAAGTTGATCTAAAATTATGTGTGATTTCTATGAGATTATAAGGAAGTTGTAAACAAAGATTTCAATTATTATTTAAAAGGAAATTTCCATAATAAAGCAGTCTCTTACATAAATGCTTTAGCAATAATAATTTATCTAAAAATTAACCAATCAGAACACATCAAACCAAAATTAACAACTTATTGAGAATCAAGATTTCATCTTGAACACATTGCATTTACTGTATATCAACATATAATTGAATCTCCTTAAACTCTTCTGGCATCTTCAATGATTGCATAATTAGCATATGTTTGGATAATCAGTCATGATTGGTAGTGAAATAACAGTATTTGCATGCTTCCATCTGCATCTGTAGGAAAACATTCTCCCACATTTCTCCTAAAATACCAGACGAAACTTCGACAGTTGATTGCCATATAGTGTCACTGTGATGCTGGTATCAGTGAAATAAGTTTATGTGCTCCTGTGGGTATCATTATGCCAGCAGGAGGTATAAAAGCCTGTATTCAGCTGCTCAGCTCATTCTGCTCTGTAACACAGTAGTGATTTTTATTACCTTTCTTTAATGATCATGTTGTTTTTTGCTGTTTGTTAAGTGAAATGAGTACACATCATCGCTTAGACAATAGGTATAAGATAGAGAATTGTGTGTAGGCTTGAGAAAGGGCAGTGCCAAGCTTAGGTGGCAAGAGAACTGGATGTAACACCAAATGTCATTTCTAATTTGTGGAATCAGTTTAAAAACAGTGTCCAGAAGACCAGGACTAGATTGCCGACCAATGACGACCTATATTTGCTACTTTAGCCAATAGCAAGCCTACAGCCAGACAGCTGTCCTATGACCTTGCTACTGCTGCAGGAATACGAGTTTTAAGGAAGACAGTTGTCAGAAGGCTTCATGAAACAGGACTGTATGCCAGAAAGCCCTCTATTTTCATCCCACTCGCTCCCACAAAATAGAGCATTTACAGTGGTACACTGCACAAAAAAAGGGGGGCAGTTCTGGATCTTCCGTTCTAGTAGGCCGATTGACAAAAATTCAAATTGTGTTTTCATGTCTCAAAAACGCGACATAGGATATATATCAGGCCCAAAACTCATTTGCTACTTTCATGTGTAATTTGCTGTTAATCAAAATTTTATTTTTCCATTTCTCCTGATTTTTTACTGAAACATGCTTAATTTTTGGAAACCAGTGTTGTATATAACATTGTTCTAATATAGGTATTTTGACACAAAATCAGACTTTTTCTGAAATGACATTTTTTTTTCCATATTTCGATTTTACGACTCAAATTATGCATAATATTAAATTTTGTAAAATTTGGTGCGAAATTTTAAAAAAATTAAAAAATTTATCTTGAAGCAGTTTTGCAGTTTGCACCAAGAATAATGCACTTGGCGAAATTCTTAATTTATAGCAACCTCTTTTCCATTCCTTTTTTTTTTTTTCATTGTACACAAGTAATCCTTCATTGCTTTCAAATAATTTTAACAAAGTGTGTAAACCACATTTGGTGTTATTATCACTCAAAGAAAAAAAAAAAAAAAGATGCCAAATTTCAAAATGTGTCAATATGTAAATTCAATTAAATGTATATCTTAGAAAATTTTGAATAAAAAAAACTACTTTTTTGCAGGTGTGACTAGAAATACACCTACTTTAAGATGATGTTAAAAATTTTATAGGTTATGATACAAAAATGTTTTTGAAAAATTTATAAAACTTAATAAATTATAAAAAATGTGCAAGTTATATAAAGCCTAAATTTTGAATTCTGGAAAAAGGAATCAAATAAGTTTAATAAAAAAAAGATATATTAATAAATTTATATCAAATTCATTCATTGAGGAGCTAAAATTTTGAAAACTAATTTTTTAAAAACTACTTGTGCAATTTTTACAAAACTTGGCAGTTTGGCGTAATTTGAGTCGTAGAATTGAAATATGGAAAAAGATTGGCATGTCATTTCAGATAAAGTCCGATTTTGTGTCAAAATACTTATATTAGAACAATGTTACATGTAAATCTAATACATATCCTAAGCTGTGCTTTCAAGACATAAAAACCGCAATATGAATTTCGCCAATTGGGATATATATAGTACTGTCACTTTTTTTTTTTTTTTTTTTTTTTTTTTGTGTGGTGTGTGTGTGTGTGTGTGTGTGTGCAGTACCTACAACACCAACACTGGGTACATCTTCAGTGGGCTAATGTTCTCTTCATGGGTGAGTTCAGATCAGCCTACAACCTGATTCTTGGCATAGATGGAACCTGAGACCCAATACCCTCTTAGCAACATCATGGAAAGGGACCATTATTATGGTGGAGGAGTATTATCTAGGTAGGGATCATGCAAGATACCCACACACTGCTCCATGTGTTTGACACTGGTTCCATGGATGCCAAGAGATACAGGCAGGAGATACTAGAACCCTATGTGTGACTTTTCAGGGGTGCTGTTGGCCCTAAGTTCATTTTTATGGATGACAGTGCATGACCACATAGGGCCCACCTAGTTCATGATTACCTGGAAAGCAAGATTATTTACTGAATGGCTTGGCCAGCCGAATCTCCTGACCTTAATTCTATTGAACATGTTTGGGATGCTCATGGGAGGACTATTGCAATACGTAAATCCCCACCCAGAACCATTCAGGATTTAAAAACTGATCTGGTGGAGGAGTGGGTGTGATTCCCACAGGCATTCCTGGAATCTCTTGTTAACATCATGGCTATTCATTGTGCTTTCTGTCTGTCAGAGGCTATCACACACCATACTAGCCACATTTTCATTGCCAACTTTCAACCTCAAATTTGAACAAAATTAGATTCATGTTAATGAACAAACAGCATTTTCATTGTTGTTTTGTACACATTATTATCCTGCAATAAGCTAAATCCATACCTAATTTCATTTATTTCTATCAAATATTTCTTGAGATATTTGGGAAAAAGTGTTCCATTTCTTAATTTTGTTTGCAAGTGTATTGTCAGGCACTCAAATTTAGCTACACTTCTGAAAGTTGGTAATTTGCATTGTGTGCTCAACTTTTGGATGTCAGTGTAAACAAAATAATATATACAGTGAGAAAATTAACATTTTAAACACATAGCGAATTTGAATTATTCTGAAACTAAAATATATCAGATATTGGAAAAACCAAGTATATTTCCATATACAAAATTAAAATATGTTACATAAGTACAAAATATGACAACTAATACATCTAAAAAATGCTGCCTACAACATTACTCTGTGTAACTCTTTTATAAGCCCAGCAAAATTGAAATAACCTTAAGTTGTGGCAAATTTGCTATCCAAATCGTATCCAAGTACCAAAGAATGGCTTTCATTGTTCTTAATATTGACTGATAGGTATTGAAGAAAGAACATCATCATTATGCTGCAAAACTGCTTTCAGAGGGAAACTGGGAGAGTCAAAAAATAGTCTTCAGTCTTTTATCTTATGTGATATATTTATTCAATGCAAAAAGACTTTTGATGTCATGGAATACAGTCAGGCCCTCTTTTGTTTGAAAAAATAGTCTATAGTGAGAAGCTGTTACTTTCTGTCAAGTAATGCCATTATTGTGGCTATGAGGTTAACTTGATTGTTGACCTCACAAATGCAACAATGTTTTATGTGAAGTCCTTGATTAGGTTATTTAATTCAGCCAGTGTTATTTCTTGTGATTCACGAGTTGCTAACAGTGAGGAAGAGTCAAGATTTTGATATGCCGAGGGTTACTGTGTATCATTTTCATTGGACATTCAAGTTGAAACATTGTGGTGGCTCTGGTATTGTTACATCATGAGTATATGAATTTGGGCATTTGGCTGGGAGTAGATCTGAAAGCACTCCATTTTTCTTTTGGTGTGTCCCTTTAAAATTGTAGGATTAAACAGAAATAGCAGTCTTTTATATAATCAGTAGGTTCTTGCCACATCATATGAACTTCATATACCAACTTATCCAATATGCTTATGCATGAAGGATAGAGGAACAAGTAATACATCAAACATAGAAGTTCGAAGTCGGTCCTGGTCTCCAGTTTTGCATCCATAGTGCAGAAAATAAGCATTTCTTGTTTCAGATGTAATGTAATACTTTTCAGACCTTAAATATAATTTCCCCACATATTTGGCCAAAAAAAATTGGGTTTTTTATGCAAGGGGTATAAGTTTACTAGCACCTCGGCAAAAATGTTTTAAGTACACACAATTAAAAAAATTTTACTCACAATGCGAAAATGTCAAAATAAAGGATAGATACTACTCAACTGTATGATGACTGATTGAACTTTCTTAAATATGGGAATCAAGCAGTTGAGTGCTATGGAATGTTACACTGCTAAAGAACAATCAGCATTGATGTTATAAAATAAACCTCTCTCTTACCATGTTTGTTTGATGCTGTGTGAAAGACAAAATGTTTCTATTTTGATGCTGCACAGCAGTTGAAGTTAATGTTTATATCTGCTGAAACTTTCATAAGGTCAGGTTAGAGTTTCATCTGCTGCATCTTTCTGATCATTGTTAGGCCGTGAATGAAGTAAAAGCTTTTTTTTTTTTTTTTTTGTTTGTTTTTTTGATACTCTTATGCTGGGCTGTCGCTGTAGAGCACGCGCCGTTGCCAGCTCTATGACTAAGTATCCCAATAGGGCACAAGACGTTAAACAGTCTGAATGGGCAGTGAGAAAGCGCCCGAAATGGGAAAAGGGGAGTGACCAGCATCACAAGAAGAAAGAAAACCAAGAAAGACGTGTGCATGGAGAGGCTAAAGACAAGTGGTTGTCTGGTAGTGTTATATCATGATTAGTGGGTGGTTAAGATATCAGAATAAGTCTAAGAAAAGTTTTATTATCTAAATCAGATATCGTAAGATATAACATACAATACAGATACAAAATACATAGATAAAAGATACAAATGATAGAATATAACATATATACACTATATACAAATTTACACTATTTACAGGAAAATCCGTGAAAGCGATAAGTAGTGAAATTATCGTCACGGGGTAAAAGCTTTAAACTAATTCATGGCTTTTAAAAAAAGGAGGGAACTAGTCTTCGGTAACCAAAATTGGAAGATTTTTGCTAAAAAATCAATAGCAGCAGTGAACCTTGTTGAAATTAGTTTTTGAAGAAAGTTTAAAATGATAGTAAAGAAAACTCCAAATGATAATTGGAGAATGCTAAATTTAATTTTACGAGTATAGGGGCAAGGCATTCTTAATACAGTGATTGAATGGAAAACTTGTAGATAAAGTAGAAAGAGGAAGATGGAGATGATGTTGCAAGTGTTCACAGGGTTACTGAAATGCATAAACAAGTCTTTAAACTAACTGAGTTTGAATTTAACATTATCATCTTTTTATAGTGTTAGCCATATTGTGTGAAAGAATGACTTCTGTGTCTCGATATATGTATGTTTATATGTACAATGTCATATGTCTAATAACATAAAAAGAGATGCACCAAGAACAAGTTATCTAAAGGGTATGACATTACGTTAATCCATACCTCATGATAGAATATGTGAAGGATTAACTTTTGGTGGCCTTTGACTGACTAACTGCAGCTCCAGCGCACTGCAACAAAACATGGAGATGGTGTATAAAACACAGAGGGTTATTCTAATGGTTCACTTTCATGTGAATATGTTTTCGTCAACCCACATGGACTGTACCAGTATTTTGCAGGTAGGTTCATAAACAGATGTCAGCATTTGAGTGAGGACAAGCAGTTGGACTAAAGGAAGCAGGTGGTCAAATTGCAGGATTGTTAGACATTTGGGTGAAGCTACTATTCGGCGATGTTGGCGGAAATGAATGAACCATGGCTGTGTGAAGCATCAAGAAGGTAGCGGTCAACCAAAAGCAACAACAGAATGATCATCCAGTTGGCATTTGCAGCCACTTAGGCATCTTTATCAGTGATCTGACATGTAACCAAGATACCAGTGTTATCCTTCTTTTCACATACTGCTGGGCTTACATTTCAACAAGAGAATGCCTGAGAACACACTGCATGCCTTTCTACTATTTTGTGCTTTTCCAATATTTGCATGGCTGACATGATTGCCAGATCTCTCCCAGTAGAGCATATTTGGGATGTGATGAGCGGGCATCTTCAGCTATCCCTGATTTGAGTCAATCTAACTCACCATTTGGAACATGCATGGCAAGTAACCTCATTGTAGGATATCTGCCAATTCTACGAGATAATGCCTAGCTGGATAACAACTTGAATCAGGGCCAGAGGTAGGCTAACTCATTATTATTTTTTTGCCTCTTGTAGCTTATTTCATGAATAAGACATTCTGTTTCTATGACATTCTTAGTATTTCATTTTTAATACATATACATCATATCTGCCAATTTTTGTCCCATTCGGATAACTCATTCTTGGTGCATTTTTTAAAAAATTTATTTTTCAGTTATCTATACATTAGCATAAATAATTAAAAATTCATTGTGTAATAAAGTATATTTTGAATATGATTGTATAGAATAGAATTGATAGAATTTCAAGATAAAGATGGTATTAAAAAATATGAGAGGTATGTTACCAGGTTAAAATTTCTACCATAAGTATCTGTTGGAGGAATGTCCATCATCTTAGCTATTTCTGTATGTGAGAGATGAAGGAAGAATGTGTAATTTAAAAAAAAAAATACATCTTACTTAAATTAATAATTAAAGATGTAATTTTTATATGTAAATATTATAGTATACTGTTTATAAATAGTAAAAAAAATTATTTCTAGGAAAGTGGAATAAAGTTGATGGAGTATGGTTCAAGAAAACAACACGATAATACTGAAACTGAAAGGAAAACTTTTAAAATTCCATCCATATTAACTTTAAATAATGAGAATTCTAAGGCAGATAAAACTGATGATTCTTGTAGTAGCCTTTCTGAGGATGATGATGATAATGAATGTTTGGAAGAATTTTGGAAAAGAGCAGAAGTAAAAAATCAACGTAGACTGAAAATGCTACAAAATAAAAAAAATACAAAATTTTACAATCAATGAAAGCATTCAATTCTGACATAGTTGTTGCAGCAAATAAAAATTCTTGTTTTTGTTCCATTTGTATTTTTGTTGTATTCTAATAGCAATATTAAGATTTTTATATGGAGCATTTTCATCAGCCAACAGAATGTTAAAACATGTATTCAGAATAATGTGTGTAAATAAAGTTAAATTTGTTTTTATATAAGGTGATTTTGATTTGTAACAGTGTTCCAGATTTAAGATAATTATTATTTAATGGGATATTATGAATTTTATTAGTAGTCCTCTGTTTCATATAGAAAGTTGTTCAAAATTAATGAAACTACCCAACAGTGCTAATAAATTTGTATTCATTCCTAATAAGGTTATTGCAAATAGACTAGAAGACCGAAAATCTTCCAATGGCATGTTGGCAGTGATGCAGACGGCTTTGGCAAGTGCCTTCCCTATAGACAGAGAACTCTCGTGTTTATTGTCATAATAAATAAACAGTGGACTAGAATATATGAGTAAACAGATTGTTGAAGTTTGGAAAACAAAAATAAAAAGACAAAAAATATTTCTGTTACTAAACTTAGTTTTTCACTTATACTCTTATAATTTTTCTTCTTTCTGCACTAAATCTTTCTAGAGTTTCATAACTACAGCAAAAAGGCCAACTGTCTGGCATTCTACTAACCAGAATATTTTTAGAATTAAAAAAAAAAAAAAAAAAATCACCTGAAAAGTAAAGTAAATGGAGATTTATAATTATAGAGCTTATTATGCTATCAGTATGCATATGTTGTCAGCAAACAGTGCGATTTATTGCCAATAATTGGTAAGCATGACATTGCAACATAATGAAAAGTAAAACCAAGGCGAGTTCTTTGAGTAGAATTCCAAGCAGAATATTTTAGAATTAAAAAAAAATTTTCCTTTCCAAAAGCTAATTAAATAAAGATTTAATATCAGTAGGCATACATTGTCAGCAAACAGTGAATTAGTTCTAATAGTGGTTAAGCATGACATCGGAATACAGTAAAAAGAACTTGCCTTGGTTTTATGTATAACCAAATTCTCAATAAGCCAGTTTAATTTTTGTAAACAAGGATATAAGTTCTGGTTTTTCTGTGCATTTGGAAAAACTATTAATATTTGGGATCTGCTTTTTATGGAACAGAATGCTTTAGAATATTTTCAGAGTTACAGGATCCTGGCATATATATATAAAAGGCACAATATGTGACTTTATTTGAAAAAGGAAAAACAGTGGAAATGCAGAGTGAAAAATTATAATAAGTAATGAGTTTTTAATGCTATATCTTAATTTGTGTATGTTTATTATCAAACTAAACAAAAACTCATCTATTCCTTCAAATTTCTCCCAGAATAATTGTGACAAGTTTGGTGACAGCTCTGTCAACGTTCATGTTTGGCATGATTTCATATTCAGATGTTTTCAAGGCTTATGTATTTTGGCTTTTATGTCCAAAATGCATTTTTTCTCCAAAAGCTTATATAATTTTAAATAAGGTTTTAATATATGCAAGTTGGGAACAAATAAAATTGTTTTTATAATTTTATACCACAAGTTTCTTCAATTCATTGGACTTTTCTGATATGAATTCCATTTTTTTTATACATTCACCTATGAATTTAGCATTTCACAAACTTTCACTGTATTTGGTTTTTCTTTCTGAGCAAGTCTCTAGTACATACTCAGCATACATAGCCCATTCAAGTGATCAACTGTTGCTATTGAGCGAACCAAGTTTTTACTTGGTGGAAGGTATTGTTGAGTGCTCAGTAGTCCATTGTTAAAACAGAAATAAGAAGATGATGTTTTGTTAGCAAAAAAACATCACATCTTTTATGAAGACTTCTAGTGTTATCAATCTTTACTTTCTTAAAAAAGTGTGCCATAATAGCGGTGGCCAATGCCCATAATGGTTAGTGCCCACCATTGGAAATTTAAAAAAAAAAAAAAAAAAAAAAAAAAAAAAAAAAAAAAAACCTGAAAATTTAGGAAACGGAAGTTGGATAAAAGATTCATTTTCTGTTTTGAATGCTGTACTATATAATATTTCAGTTCAAAAACAGATCTGCTTTTAAACATTTCATATGACAGAAATTTCATAAGTTCAAAAAAGAAAACTTATGCAGTTTTTAATTAAAGAAAAAATAACTACAAGTGTATTTCCAGACAACATTTTTAATGACTTTCAACACATTGTATCTTTAAATTGAATTTTCAGCTATGCTATTAATTAAATATAAGACATGGCTGGAATTCGAACCTAACTGCTTAAAATTAGTGAAGAAAAAGTGAAAATATATATGAAAGTGTGATTGCAAGACAAAGTGCATACTGAAATTGGTTACAATAAAAAAGGCTCATTTGTCTCAATAATTCTCATTAATAATAAATCTTCATATTTGTTGTTATGTATTATTTACCCACTGTTTACTACAACATATAGTATATTTTATTATAGAGCTTCCATTTATGAATATGATTAAATATATAAATCTAAATATTTAATTCTTTAATAATAAACACTATTTAACTCTGCATTGATTTTAAATTGGAAAGTGATTTTATGATGGTACATGTATTTTTTATTCTTATTTATGTGGCATAAAATTAAAAAAGTTTGAGAATCCATGAACTAAGGAGTTATACCTGTATATTAGAATTTATAGAAATTTGTGAAAATACATAGTCAGTTAGTTTCAGATGAAGAGGATGAATTTTTAATAGCATTTTAGGATAAGTAAAGCTAACAATAATTTTTAAACAAAACTTTAAGAAAAATATTAATTTTTAATTTGATTCTATGTAATAGTTCCACAGTTTTTGATAACCTTAACTTTCATTATATGAGGTAACTACTTTTTCAAAAATTAATCACACTGAAACACATGATTATGCAAAACCTTAATCCTAGTATTCATATTATAATAAGAATTTTTTTATAAGTGCAATTTTTTATCAGTTATAATTTATGTTGAAGATATGTAAATTAAATTTTCCTCCTTTAAGATATTGGAAATATGGCATTTCCCCAATTTGCTGCAGCTATCATGTAGCTTAGTGGTGGTGTTTTTAAGCATGGGAATATCTGATTTTATGTTAACTTGCAGATACTTTACACAAATTATATTCAGTTATTTGACATCTTTATTCACAACTGCAAACACAAATACAAGGAAATTTCAGTGTTGAATCAAGCATGGAATTCAAATAGAATTTACTATTTATTAGTTAATAAAATTCAATTACATTTGCTATTACCAAATAAAAATAAAGCAGTTCATGTTCCTGAAATTTTAGAAAAAATTAACATTTACTTGATTTTTGTTCTATAGCTCATTAATTGTAAAAATCAAGTAATTTTTTTAACCCTCTTAACTGACTAAGGGTTTTGTTCTGAAACCTCAATTTTTCCCAAAATGACTTCTTGAGTTTTTTTTTTTTTTATAATTTTTTTTATTTTAATGCCAAAATGCCTGTGGCCTATACCTCTTTATTTATTTACTCTTAGTATATTGCCTTAAATCCTTAAGCATACTTCAAGATGTACGTAAATATATTTCTTTAAAGACATTACAAAAATATTCTAGTTCTCTATATGTATGGCTTGGTCAGTCAGAGGGTTAAATTTTAAACATAGTTCTTTCAAATTTGAAATATGGCTAATTTTCAGTATAAGTGCTTTTGTTTCCAAGTAGAAAGAATTATTTCAAAAGGGAACAATGTTTCAATGGGAAAAAAATCATTTTGTCTTCGTCTCTCTCTCTCTCTGTATAGATACAAATACATATTAAAAGTATTTATTTACTTTATGCAGTTTGAATCCATAAATGCAAAATATTCGGATTTTATTCACTGGACAGAACAGAACAAAAATAAGCATATGGGGCACTTTACCAAATGGTAAAATAGGTCATTTCACACAGTACTACTGACTTAGAGCAGTAGCATGACTTCACAGAGTTTTCACACAGCTGCCAACTTTGAAATATAAAAAACAGAATTTCAGGAAGGTTTCCATGCAGGGTGACAGTGCTACTTTAAGGAAACTCTAAACTGATATAAATTCACTTTTTGATGCATAATTCAGGTTACTGAACTAATATAATATAACTAATTCTAAACATATTAATATTTAATTAAATATTCTAAATTTTATGTTCTTTTGCTAATTTTGTGCTATAAGCAAGTTATATTCAAGGAATGTCTTCATACCTATGTAAGAATGTTAGTTACACTACCATTCTTACATAGGTATTTGAGAAAACAGATATTCATAAATTCCAGTTAGTCTGAAGTTTCTGTAATTTTATAATTAATTTTTCTCTTTAAAAGTTAAGTAGCTATTTCATAGTTTTAAATAACAAAATCAGAGTTAAAAATGATTAAACAGTCAAATAAATAATTATAGGAATGTAATAGCAGTTATAATTTACAGTCTCAAATTGCTTGACATAACTCATATGTTATATTCTTTGAACAAAACCACATACATAGTTCTCACAAGTTGCATATAGTTAAAACTTATAGTTCAACATTTTTTAAATTTGAATCTGATGTTGATAAGAAATCCATTTGCTCAGGAATCAGCTTCCCAATTGGTTTCTTCGATTTCTGGAATAAATACTCTAATTAATATTACTACCTAAAGATGAAATAAGATTTAGTTCCACTTAGAAATAAAAATTCACATAACTAATCATAACAAAAACAGCAAATCATAATATACTATTGCTCACATATGTACATAATCTATTCCTAGGCATGTTACAATTATCTGAAAACTGTATACAGTACAAAATCCGTAATCTGGACTCGTCAGTACTTTGGCGATTCTGGATTAGGGGTTTTTCCGGATTATAGATCATCAATTTAAATCTGGTAAGATGGCATGCAGAAATTATACAATTAAAAATATGAAACCATAATTTATGAAATAAAGAGCAATTATGATCTAAAGGGTATCAAATATTACAAAAAAAGCTTAATATTTATTTGTTTACTTTATTAAACATTTCTTTCAATGCGCACATACGTAAAGCATACATTACGAGCATGCGTAAATTCTCTACGCGCATGCATAAAGTTTGTGGCTTTGAAGTCCGGATTATAGATCATTCTGGATAATGGACGTCTGGATTACAGACTTTGTACTATATAAATAATGAATGTTCTATAATGATGTGATATTAGTATAACATGTAATATGTGTATATGGTGAAAGTTTAAATGACATATTATGCAAATTAAAGCATTACTTAATGTAATCTGAAATGTAACATACATTGTACACTAATTTTATTGCATACTCTCTGTTTCCCTGTTCTATTCATATATATGAAAGTGAGGAATTTTACTTAGCCAAATCGCAGAAGCAAGCAGTGAAAAAATATATTAAATTTAGTATTTTTCACTGCTTGTCCCTTATTAATTTTATTCTATTATAATTCTTTTATTAATTTGTTTTACATTATAAAAGCAAATTAATGAAAACCATGCTAATCATTAAAGTTCTATAAAAGCAATTGTAGACTGATCTGAACTTCCATGCAAAAAATTAAAAGAATTTCCAAATTATGTCTATTTTATGAAAAGTGTTGAAGCCACCAAATTATGCCACCAAAGAATTCAGCAAATATTCAGAGTATGTATACTGTCGCGTTTTTCTCTTCTGACACCAGTTGTTGCGTTATTTTCTTCCTTCACATTCGTACGGAGTCGTGTGGATTTGGAGTGAATAACGACGACACTTGGTGATGAAGTTTCGAAACTCGCTTTATTTACCAATATCAAACAGGACAGCTCCAAAACACTTTTACAGTCGTCAAAGATCTACTATAAACACATTGACACAATCAGCGACACAGCCTCCAGGTTATCAGGCTATCATGGTGGAGACGGCTTCACGGCAAAGCACTAGAGTACAGTTCGCGACTCTGCTTGGTCGTTCTCAGAACTCCACGTATTCTCGAGACTCACCACGCTACAACTCGTGATGCACTCAACGACACTCAGAGCACAGCTTCTGACTCTTCGGTTCAGTCATTCCTGGAGCTCAACACGCTCTCTCGACAATGCACTAACTGCGATACACTAACAGACTCCTTCTGTGAGCTCGACGACCCACTTGGCACTCGCTGCCCGGCTGTCAACTCGATCGACTCCGCAGGGATTGACTCACTAGATGAGACACCAACTCGATACTAACTCACACTCTCTGAAGCACACACTTGCTCGTAACTGACTGCGGACCTGCAGGGTTTATATAGCTATCAGCCTGTGTTCGAGAACATTCTGGGCTAAACCAGTAGGAATTCATTCCAAAAGATTCTCCATCTGTCAATGGGATATCGCCAATTTTGTCGCCAAATGGGCAAATTCTCGCCAAATATGGCAACTCTAAAACTGCTTTGCGGGGAAGCCATCTCACCGCGCCTGTACATTTCGTAACAATACATATATGTGTATGTATGCAGAGCTGTCATTGTGAAGGAGATGTAAGCACACAAGGATTTTTCGCAGATTTGTATGCTCGTACTTTTTTACGACATTCACTGTGCTTCTTGCAAGAGTTGGGTAAATTTTTATAAAATATCAAATAAAATGAGTAGCCACAAACATATGGATAAAGAAACAAGATAGAGACTTGTCAGTAGACTGGAGGCATATCATTAACCCTCTTGTTGCATAACTTTTTTTTATCAAAATAGGTTCAAAAATAGCATATTTTTTATTACTAGAGTTAAAATATACAAAATGTTTTTGTAGAAGTTTTTTTTTTCCCAATATAGAATTAGGTCATAAAAAAGGTTGTCAGAAAATTATTGAAGAATAATCATATAAAAACAAAATTTTTAAAATTAATCTTGGTTAAATTATGATTTATTTTATGAAATGCAAAGATAAAACATATATATACCAATGAAAATATGCAAAATATGTACAAAACATTTATTAAAAATGAAGTTTTATGATAAACTTCGAAACAAGGCTTGAGGCAAAGTCCTACCCACGCAAACATAGCACCAAATTCAAGTTTCTTTGAGAATTTTTTGGCCAGTTTCAGTTTTTTTAGCAGCAAACAGCACAAAGTCTACGAGGTTCTTTCTTGATGGGATTGTGGGTTGGCTAGCAAAATGTTGAGCAGTTAGTCTAATAGGATTGAAATTTGAACTATATACATCTTTGAGCTTTGAAAGTTCCAAGGCACTGGATATCAAAAAGACCTAGAGAAGTTGACCAAGATCCACAACAATGAATGAGAATCGTTAGTTGGAACTATCTGCACAACAACAGACTGCTGCAGCTGCACAGCTTTCACGAGCTGCCACTGGAACCCAAATTTACAGGTGAATCAAGATTCTGCATAAGCACTTATTCTCAGCTGTATGCGAAGAGAACCTCGAATGCGATACCATCCCTTCCTCATCAGGGAAAAGAATCTTTGTGGTGGTAGATGTGTAATGGTTTGGGCAGGCATTATGTTGGACAGCTGCACACCCTTGTATGTATTTGACACAGGTATAGAGAGATCTTCTGACCTTAACCCTATAGAGCATGTATTGGATGCCCTTGAGAAAGCAATTTCATCTTGTCATCCTTTTTTGAGAACCATCCCAGAGTTGAAAACTGCCTTGCTGCAGGAGTGAGATCGACTGGCATAGGGACTCCTCAGCTGTCTTCCATCCAGTATACTCAACCACTATGCTGTCACGTTGCACTACAAGTCTGGCTGTGAGGAAACTATACCCTATATTAGACTCATTTTCAGTTGGATGTTACAACATGTATTCTGGATATCCCTGCACTATGAGCTTTACTGATAATCATGCATACATAAAATGGCTTTTGGAAGGTACACATCTTTCTATGCTATAAATGTATATTCATATCATATTTCATTAAAATCTGCTGATAAATTTTTCAAAAATCTGCCGTAATGTGGAAATTTTCTTAATTTTGCACACGACTGTATTTATTCTCTCATGGTTTGGATTACATGAGAAGACATACAAGATGCATTTTGAATCTTATAACTATTTTTTGTTTAATTAAAAAAATTAGGGAGATGTAATAAAACAATGATACTTAATCATCAGATAAAGTGGCATAATTGTATCTACAAATTGTCTTCTCACAAATTTTGGAATAACGTGGACTGCTATATGTTTTCCCCACTTAACTGTGCATATGATAGAATGTTATTTTTGTTTATTTTATACAATGACTAATTTAATTAGAACTAACTATAAATTCGGTAGCATTATTATGATATTGTTGCCTTCAATTCTAGTAAATCCCCAAAATGTTCATTAAAAAATAATTTGTCAAGTATATAATTTTTTTAAATTTTATTTTATAATATTCACTTGCATAGCTCTAATAGAATTTCATATATGATGAGTAAAGCTAACAGCAATTTTTACATAAACATTAAAAAAAGGATTAATTTTTAAATTAATTTTATTTAATAATGCACAGTGTCTTATCTTAAAACCTTCATAATCTGAGATAAGTACTTTGTCAAAAGTTAATCACAGAAAAACGCCTGCTTATGCAAAACCTTAATCCCAGTATTTACATTATATCTTTGCTCATCGAAAATAATACATCTAAATTATAATCAGTAAAATATACATTCCTGTTGTTTTAACCTTTGGCTTATATGCTTTCAAAAATGACTGAAAGAATGTAAACAGTGTATGAAATTAAGGAATAAAAATCAACGTTGACTTTCAGTCAGCTTTTTAAAAACCTGAAGTTTTATATCAAATGAATCATCTTTTAAATAATTATTGAGAAAATTCATAGATGGTTCTAGATGTCATATTTATATTTAATGTACAACTTCATCATTTAGAAAAAATAGCAATTTATAATACAATAAAGATTAACCACGTTGTCACAAACTGGCACAAAATTTGCAACTGTTGAACATTATGCAAATTCTCAGCTACAGTTAATGTTAAAAAGCAGCTAAAATGATATGAATGATTATAATAATATTTTTTATGGTGTGAATTGACTATAGCTTATTCACAGTATTTGTATTTCACAATTTCACATATATTTTACAAATATATCAAAGTAAAACTTAATTACAGTGAACTTTCATTAATTCATTCATTTGAACAAAAGGATGGATTGATTCCAAATATCCCAGCTAAGAAACATCATATCTAAGCAAAGATAAGAAATTTTGATAATTCAATCCTGGTCAGTTTAATGAAAGTCCACTATATTTTTCATACAGTCAAACCTCTTTCCAAAGACAAGTCTCACTAATGACCAATTTTTGAATCGATATATTTTAGCCCACAGTGCTTACCAAAATTTATTTTTAGAAATTAAATGTTTTTAGACAAATGGATTAAAGAAATCTCCTTCAGTGACACATTAATTCTGAAAATGGAATTCAAGAAATAAAGATTGGAATTGTGAAAAACATAGAATCTGCAAAATGCATTTTCAACCCTTTCTTTAGTGACTTTTATGAAAAATGGGGCATAACATAAAAAGTAGATCTTGCAATGATATGAATCTTTTGTATTTTTGATAATTTTTATTTCTAAAGCTCTGATGTAACAATCTTTAATTAGATTATATCAAATTAAAAGATTTTACTTTCATGTGATCTAAGAACTTACAATATACTACTCAGTACAGAATATGTTTTCCTTAGTTTTCACTGAATTCATTAATGATTACATGAACAACAATGAACAATGTGGCTGAGTGATTTGATATATAATTTGATTGATTATTTGTCATGGTATCAAACTGCAAAAGATTAGGTTTAAAAAAAGTGAAGTAATCATTGTTAGAAAAAGATAAAGCCAGTTCTTGAAGTTTTTAAGAATACTTTTTACTTGGAAAAATATAAATTGAAATTGAAGAAACAAGAACACTTTGGATGTACAGTAAAAATTAAAGTATAAAAATAATAAAAGTACTAAAGATAAATATTACTGATTCAGTGGTCTTTCTTTGATTTTGTTTTGCACATACAATATGCATTTCTGTAAGTGGACCATTGTTAAAAGAGAAACTAATAAAATTGAATCATTGGAAAAGATTAACTGTAAAGCTTCAAATATCAAACTTTTAGTTAAGACAAAAAATATTATATCAAACTATTTTGGTTAAGTTAAAAATTTATAATCCCTACATTAGTGATAAAATGGGTTGAAAACTTATAAGTCTATAATCAAATTTCTAAATATGTGCTATTTATTTTTAGAGTAAAAATAAAAAGCCAAAGTGTTTTAAGAATAAATTTGGTGTGTACAGGAAACCCATTTAGATGATAACTAAGTTCTAATTGAAATATTAGATTGAATTTGATTAAAACATTGGAGAGGGGGATTTTGCTTTTCATTGATAGTGTTGTGTTTCATGCAGTTAAAATGTAGAAACAATTATCTGCCACCAAATACTATTTTGGTGTGCTAACCCCTAGATCATAAAATCACTCAAATATTTAAGATCATGTGAAAGAAAGGAGAGAGGACTGTTTAAGGAAGAACAAGGAGAGAGGACAATTATCTGCCACCAAATACTATTTTGGTGTGTTAACTCTAGATCATAAAATCAGTCAAATATTTAAGATCATGTGAAAAAAAGGAGAGAGGACTGTTATTCCAGTTAATGCTCCTAAAAAATCTGATTCAATGTAACTTGCCTGATATCTCAAACTGTGTGCAAAAAACAAGTCAATACGACGTATCAAAACTAATTTAACAGAAATAATCAAACTAAAACATGCTTTTTTTAATTTAAACTTTTAACAACAAAATTATTTTAAGGAAGAAACAAATCTGGAAAATAGAAAAGTTTCTAAGCAAATTTGGGAAAGTGTCAGAGAAAAGAGAAATAAAAATTGCTGAAGCAAACCAAGCACTATATGATCAAAGACACACTAAAATACACTAACATTAAAAAAAAAAAAAAAAAAAAAAAAAAAAAAGGTTACATGAATGTAAAAATTCTAGTGGACTCATTATAATAATGTTTAAAATTAATTTTAAAAGAACTATAGCAGAAAAGCTTAAATACATATAATTTATTATAAGAAAAGGTTTTCCATATAGTATCATCTCAAGAAAATAATTAGGAAAAAAAAAAAAAAAAAATCTAGTATTTTAAGTAGCATTTTACATCAGAATTCAAAGTATTTAGATTTCTGTTGTAATAAAAATTATTTAAAAACTGTATAAAATTTTTTTAACTGTAAAAATTCTAAAAGTTAAAATTTAAATTACCAAAAACGTACTCACTGTCATTGATCGCAGATTAATTGACTTTTCAAGAGGAACAAACCAATCTACTACCAATTAACAATAACCAAATTAAGTGAACATGTTTTGTCTTTTTTCCCAAGTAAGGATCAAATTAATTGTTTTGCTAGAGTTAGATCATAAGCTATGAACAACACTCTCACAATATTGTAAAAACAATTAAAAAATATATACATAAAAATAATATTCTGCAAGTTTTATATATATATATATATATATACACAAAATTGTTGCAACATATTATTTTTTATAATTTTTGTTATACATTGCAGCTATTTTATGTCTCCCAACATTTCCTACATTAAGGTTAGAAAGATTTTTTCTGATATGTTTGTTATTTTATTTATTTTGCAATGTATTGCTGATTAATTACATATGATTATTTTATAATCATACTGTTAAATTAATATTAGATTTTTTACACACAATACTGCTTTTTAGTGATTACTACCCAATAACTATTTGTTCTGCTAGTATCTGCTAACAGGAGGTTTGAATGCATTATCAAAATTTAAATCAAGAAGTTCTAAATTGTCTAAGAATTTCTATACCATTTTTTCTCGATATTTCAACATTTCTTCTTTTAACTTGTTAAGAATTGATACATTAGGTTTATTTGCACATGCTTTACTTTGTAATTCTGTTATTCTTTGTTCTTCTTCCTGTTAAGAATAATAATCATATGGATTTAGAATGAAATATAAAGAAAACAAATGAATTACACACATTAAGATGCATCAGATTACATTAATAACATACAAATGTTTTGAAAATACTGTTAAACTCTGTATCGAGGGATTCATAAGAATTATTGATTATAATTGATAAATGCAAATTTCTGGTTTCAATCACCAATTCATAAATTCATTTACTTCTTTAATATTTGATGCAACTAAAATATAATTTAAAATGAAAAATATCTTTCAAAAACTGTGCTTTGTTTTCAATTATATTCTGTTATGATTAGAAATAGCTGCATAGATACATAAGATGACATTCACAGACAGATGTTACCAAAACACACAAAGCATAATGGACTTAATTCTTGTGATGCATATTCTTCACACAATATTATTGTGGGTGAGATATGTACTCCATAATTTTGCATAGTTTACATATCTTTGGACAATGGTTGAGACAAGTGACATATGCTGGCAAAGCAAGTGGAAAAGGAGAAGGTAAGTGCACATTTAGCAGCAATCAGATATAGTTGAAAGTTTATTTAATCTGAGTTAAGAAAAAATATCTGCATTGCTAGGCTTACATAAGATGGAATGAAGCATATTAATTTTCAGATGATGTACTTTATATACAGTGGCTCCCAAAAGTGTTCGTACACTTATGATTTTCATTGAAATAGGGCTCTATCCATAAATTAAAAGTAAACTTTCTGAATGAGATTTTAATAATAAGATCTATAATCTATTCATAAAAAATTACACGAAATATTTTTTAAATATAGCGACATTTTTGAGAAATTAATAATCAAAAAATGACAAACATTTTATCTCACAAAAGTCTTCATACACTTTAAAAAAATCTTGACATAATAGTAAATATTTTCATTTTTTATTAAATTAATATTAGTATTCATTCTTCCATCATGGCTGTTTCGAGTTTGCTTTTCGTTTTGATGTCATATTTTCGTACTCTAACCTCCAGCTCTTTCCAAATGTGTTCTATGGTGTTTAAATCTGGCGACTGAGGTGGTGTTTTCAAAAGCTGTGGACAATTATAGAGACACTACAGGCGAACGTTGAGAGCCGCATACTTAGGATCGTTATCATGATTAAAAATAAAGTTGTTTCCAATATCCAAATTTTGGGCTAATAATTTTGAATTGTCTCCTAAAATATTTAAATAAAGAGAATGATTCATTATCCCATCAATAAATACCAAATTACGTAGTCCTGATGCTGTCATGCCACCCACACAAGAATACTTCCACCGCCACGCTTAACTGTTGCAACTAAGTTCTTAGAATGAAGTTCCTCATTTTTTCTTCTCCATACAGTTATTCAACCATCAGAACCAAAAATGTTAAATTTGCTTTCGTCAGCAAATAGGACATTATTCCAATACATTTTGGGTGTATTTTGCGAATGAAAGCCTAAGCTTTCTGTTTTCCTCACTAACAAAATTTTTTTACAGGCATAATGCCCATGTAATCCAGCTTCTCTGAGAACACGCCGAACAGTTTAAGGTGAAATTGAAGTAGAAAACTTTGCATTAAATTCTGCAGAAACTTTTACAGCACTCAAACGTGGATTTTTCACAAATTTTCTAAAATAAATCTCTCATCACATTTAGTTAACTTTCTCGGTCGACCTTTTCTTACCTTGTTTTTAATCCAATTTTCTTCTTTAAAGCGTTTTATCACATATTGCACTGTAGAATGGGATAAATTAACTAATGTAGCAATATATCGAATTAATTTACCACATGGTGAAAAATTATCAATTTTTAAATGCTGTTTGTAATTTCTTTATGACTGCGACCCATTTTTCAATAATAAATAGAATATTATGAAGTAAACAATTAAAAAAAGCCAACGATTTTTTAAATGCCACCACAATGCAAAAATTTAAAAAAAGCGGCAAATGATAATTTTAATTTTGATTTTATCCAAAAATATTTCAGTGTACGAAGACTTTTGCGAGATAAAATGTTTATCATTTTTTGATTATTAACTTCTTAAAAATAAAGTTTCACTATATTTTAAAAATATTTCATGTAATTTTGTTACGAATAGATTATAGATCTTATTATTAAAATTTCATTCAGAAAGTTTACTTTTAATTAATGGATAGAGCCCTATTTCAATGAAAATTATAAGTGTACGAACACTTTTGGGAGCCACTGTATATATATGTGTGTGTGTGTGTGTATGATAAGAAATATGTATATCAGCTTCATACTTCATTTTAGCAATAGACTTTTAATTCCTCATTATTTGGGTATTTCCTCTCTCTATTCTAAAAAAAAATTAATAGCATTTCTGGACTGTATCAATTCTAAATAAATGTTGATTATTGTGCTCATCGTGCTGTCTTCCTATTGCAACATTACAAAAAATGTAAATGTTCTGGGAAATAGGCAGAATTAGAATGTAAATTGTGGCCACAAATGTCAATTTAAATAAAAATGGAATTTAATCTGCTTTGACTATCATGTTTCCCAGTCATTAAGGATTTAATATTCTACGTAATCAGAATTCTTCCTCTTTGGTATATATCTACATTCTAAGCTATCAAATGGCATCAGTATTTCTGCATTTCTACATCTCAGTGTCCCTACATCAGTATTTCTATATTTATTTTTACTATATATATATATATATGTAATAAAAATAAATTTAGATGAAAAATTAGATATAAAATAAAAAATAAGTTTAGATATAAAATGATATAACAAACTCAGAAGTGACCAATAGGAATTTTGATAGTGTACAAGTGTTGATTTAATTATTACTCATGATCATCCCCAGTTCAAACACGAGGCTAATCCGGTTCTTATAAAATCACAACGCAATGCTAAAAGTTAGGTTAGATTTTAGGTAAATTTAATTTGTGTGAGGTGTATTCTTAAAAGGCACACCTTAACACTTGAAAACACAAAATATATATAATAGGAGTTGTTTTCTCCACTGAAGATTGAGATTAGAATCTGCCCAATCTGGAATAAAATAAAGCTTTTTTTGCAGACATTCTGCAGCTAAAGAAAGAAAGAAAAACGAAGAAAGAAATCTAATGATATTTTTTTTACAAAATTGAGGTATTTTATATTTATTTCGCAGCATACATAAGGAAAAAATATGTTGCATTAAATTTCGTGATGTCATCATACTGCCAGAAATAATTTCAGGATTATGCCAGCAGAGAAAATTTCCTGAAATTTGGAAATATTATTTACTAATGATAAATAAATAAATTTAGAGGGAAGAAGCAACATTAAATGATATGAATAACATAAAAATAAAGATAATTACTTTAAAAATTTAATTAGAATAATCAACGATATTTTAGCGAATATAGTTATATTACATGGTTATCCTAGATGATTGATTACTATTTTTTTATTTTACTTCAAAATGACAAGGTATTTATTAAAAAGAAAAGAAAAGAAAAAAAAGATTTTCCGGTAAAATCCTAGTATACGATACAGCCTTCGCATGATTTTGAAAATTGTCGCGAAGAACAAAATGACCCGTTTACTGCTCATCATCATGTCGCCAAATCCCGCTGTACCATACATTGAGATTATTCTCACCAAAGAACGTCTATGTAAAGAGCGGAGGGAAAATTTGCCAAGGGATTTGACGACGGAACGGCCAGAATTTCCCTCTCCGCGATGTGTACAGGAAATTGAGAAACACGTGTTAAGAAGAAACGTTCTTTGACAAAAAAGAAAACTACGAAAATCCGTTTTTAAATTATTGCGAAAAATCCAAGAAGAAACGTTTTATCAAAGAACATTTCTTCTTGGATTTTTTGCAATAATTTTAAAAACGGATTTTCGTAGATTCCCCCCCCCTCAAAATAACTAATCCATGAATTAATTTACTTGCGCCAAAAAATATTTTCTTTTCCTTTAAAGACATTTTAAACGATATTCATTTTATGAACTCTTGATAACGTGACCTTCGAACTTCAACACCGGTTTCGAGCTTTGGCGACAGATATATCGCGCATGCACAGCTGTTTCCCGCTATGATGGAACTGAGCCACGTCTGTTGCAGAGAGGTTTTCCTTCTTTATAATGCATATTTTTTTAATTCTAACCTTCATGGTACCGTATACTAGGATTAAACACATTTTGTTTTATACGAGAACAGGTACTTTCTTTAGTTCATGCACTGAACATACGATTCTCGAGGTTACTGGAAACCAAAAGTTGCGGGAAACTTGCTTTGCCTTTCTAAAAAGACAATCAAATTGGAGCTGCAAAAATTGGCTTTATGCCAGCTGCCCGAATGACACTCACGTGATACACAATTCGCCAAAAAAGTGATCTCTTCTGACATCGGCGCAAAACTTGCCTTTTTTTTTATGGATTTGTATTCACAATTGCCAGATTTTGACTCTTATGACAATTATGACTTCCCTGAATTTTTTGGTCAATTTCCGAATTCCCTGACTTTTCCCGGTTTTCCAGGTAGCGTGGCAACCATGTAAGAATCATATGGCATAGATTAGTTTCGAAATGACGCAGTGCAAAGAGAGGTTACTATTTTTAGAACTGAGAAGGGAAATTTACATTGCTAATTTAATCTTTTTACACATTCTTTATTTTTATTACATATATATTATTGTAGTACAAAAATGTATATTTTATTTTTACTTATTTATTTTTGCTCAAAGTGTGAAGTGGAATGAAATGTAAGTTCAGAACTCCTTAATTATTTGGGTTTTGATGTTTCAAATCATTACTCCTTGATAAGTTGATGTGAGGCTTTGAAATTTGAATTATTAAACTACACTGGTTTCAGAAAAAAAAATCACAAAAATAGTGATAACTCATTAAAAATAAGCTAGTCTCTATAAAATTTGAATATGTTGTGAAATAAGAGTGTTCAGTAAAACTGCAGTATGCAAATCAGTGGTGCTGCAATCAAAATACGTCATCTGCGAGGAGCATAAAATTGCACCTTTGAAAGCAAGCCTTCATATTCCTCTGTCATACTGAGATAAGAAATTTCACAAATAAACCTTCTCTCCTTTGAAAACTAGTTTTCCGGAAACCCATATCACAAGTAGAAAAATTGTGAAATCTTGGCAGAAGGACAAGCGTTTAGGAGCTATAGGACCCACAAAGTATCAGTAAAATGTTGGAAACATAACAGCAAACATCGCTAAAATGCTCATTTGGAATATTTATATGAACTAATAATATGCTAAGAAGGTGAAGATCTCAATATAAAGGAAAAAACAACTTGTTAAAAAGAAACAATATACATTGGGATGTTGAAAATGTGAACTGTTATCGACTTCAAGTGAAATGTATTACAAGAAGCAATCAAGGTGCAATTCATAAAATAAACACTGAGACAGGCAGAAAGACAGTTAACATTGTGCACATTTCACAAAAGCAATAGCCTCACACTTTGCACACTCATCATTTGTCAGTGAATCAAAGCAGTAATCCATAGGCACAATCCATATTCCAGGTTCCAAGTATCCGTCCTTATAAAAAGCATACTTAATCAAGTTCTTGAAATGATGAGCACTGAACTGATATAGTGAAAAGTCTGTAATCGCTATGCCAAATGTGCTCTGTCTCGATAATGATTGTGTCCATTATGTAACAAACAAAAGATTTGTAGTGTCTGAAGAAATGAATATTCAGAGCTGGATCTTTCCCGCACATCCTTCAGGTACCAGTTCTTTTTGTAGGACTTTACCATCAAGTACCTTGGAAGCAGAAGATGCATGGACATACAAGAAATAGAGACGTCATTATGGGAATATGTCCATCTATACACACTTTAATGATACTTTATGGGTCCTATAGCTCCTAAATGCTTGTCCCTAAGACTTCACAGTTTTTCTACTTGCGACATAAGCTTTCAGAAAATATATGAGTTTCCGGAAAACCGGTATCAAAGGAGAGAAAGTTTACTTGTCAGATAGTCAATTCATAACAATGACCTGCAGGCATCATTTGCATGAAGAACTGTGATGGAGACCTATTGAGAGACTAGAAGCAGAACCAAGTCAGACAGAAGTGGCTAAGTGATTAAATGTGAGTCATTCTGTAGTTCATAATAGACTTTGGCAACAACTTCTAACCACAAATTTGGCATCCAGGAAGTTCAACCACTATGATGAGAGTTTATAACCGATATTTGTTGTTATGTGCCCAAAGGAGTAGAAGCGCAACTTCAACTCGTACCTTTCCTTACTACAGCTACCAAAAGGTTGGTGTCAATGTCAACCATGCACAGAAGGCTTCACCAAGGAGGTCAATACACGAGGCGACCAGCCACTTTCGTGTTATGTCATACAAGGGAACATTTGAGGTGGGTGCGTCAACATTTCCACTGGATGGCTGAACACTGGAGAGATGTTCTCTTTATGGATAAGTCCAGGTTTAGCCTAAAAAGGGGTAGTAGGATTTAATTTGGAGAGAACTAGGAACTCATTATCATCCATCAAATGTCTGCGAAAGAGATGCACACAGACCTCTTTATCTTTCCATATAGAACCATGAATACTCAGCCCTATGGAGATGACATTCTTGATATTTATGTGCATTCTTTACGCTAGGGCAACAGGTGATGATTTCATTCTACAGGACCACAATGCTAGACTGCATAGGATTTAGATTGTGGATGATTACCTTCAGCAGCAAACAATTCAGCCCATGGAGTGGCCAGCTCGAATCACCGGACCTAAATCATATTGAACATATTTGAGATGTTTCAGGAAGACCTATAGCTGCTTTCATTCCTCTTCAGATCCTTGCCATGCATGCAACTGCTTTGCAACATCAATAGCTCTCACTGCTGTATTGCTTATAGGGAAGATCACACTCCATATTGAAGGTAAATTTCTTACACCAAACTGACATATCTCATTTGTTCATTTTATACATACGCTAATTTCTATAACACCATAATAGTCTGGTAATTTCTTTTTATGTTATTTTATACCTTACTGTCATGTATCTAGCTGCATTAAGTCAAACAGCTGTCTGCGAGAGCCCTGCAAGTGAGAGAGACGACAGTTGCATGTTAGCCTCAGAGGAGGAAGGTGGTAGATTTCGCTATGTTGCAGAAGCAAGGTACTGCTCCGAGTTTACTATTATTCTTTGAACGTTATTTTTAATAAATATTTGTTTCGTTTTTTTTAATGGTGTGTTATTGAACCATGAAGCCATCACACTTACTGTGTGTTGTATACTGTGAGTCAATTTCATTAAATTCTACAGGTAACTTTTTGAGTAATATCATTTATGTGATTTTTCCTTAATTAATGATAACCAGTGTTATTTGTTCACTTTTCAAATATACGAGATAACATTCCCATGTTAGTCTAAATGTATATTTTTATCTAGTATCCTATAAGACATTTTACTATTTTGCTTGCGCTATCATTATTGGTCATTTCTATCAATAAACATATTAAGCTTTAAAACAGCCCTTTTAGGCAACTATTAAAATCTGAGCTTAAATTTATACAAGTAAGAGATAATATGATGTAGCTACTAAGATAATGATCATACATAATAATAATGACTCACAGTCAAGTAATTTTTTTACCTTGCTACTACATTTTACAGACCACTACACTAAACCTGAGCATTGTGTACTATATTAAATTAAAAAAATTATTATTTCTTATCACTATCTGTTACTATCATACAGTAATGTTAATTTTATATGCATGTAATAAATTTTAGTTTCATAATCTATTAAAATGCTCGGAATATATATTCCTGAAACCAAGTTTTTAATGTCTGTTCAAAGTTTAAAATTTTAATCTTGGAAATTTAAAATTTATATTGCAAAAACTTCATGTTAGCCAATAAAATTTAATATTCTTTTTATTAAAATGGAGAAACATATGCCTTTGATATGGCATTTTCTCTTTCTTATCTCTCACTTCAAACTTTCATCTAATAACCAATGATTAATATTAATTTTAAACTAGTATTTTATTATGTAAATCAGGAAGGATTGTAGTATTAACATCATAAATGACACAAAATCTTTCAAAATGCTTTTTCCAAATGAGCTGCAAAGTTTTAAATGAGAAGCTTTGTTTTGCTCAAAATAATGGATGTGTTAAAAAACTCAATAATATACCTAAAAAAACTCAATAATAAGCCTAAAAGTAACAAGTATCATTGAATATTTCACTTTATTAATATATGGAAACAAATAATAAATAAATAAATAATCACATTCTAATTGCTGAAATATGCATGGTTGAATTTCTGAGTATATGTCAATAGTGTAACAATAAAGAAATTCACATTTTTTTAAAAATAAATGTGTTTTTCCTTTCCTAAGTATTTATTTAATAATGTGAAAACTGTAAGGGGAAGAGGAAGAGACATAAAAAAGAAAGACTTACTTTTTTTTCTTTTAATGTTTTACAGGATCCTTTTCCATACATTCGCAATAAAGAACCCCAAGAATTAATATGAGGATGTAATAGCTACAAGAAAGATTTATGTTTAGTTTTTACTTTTAGTTATTTATCATTTAATTTACAAATGCATACAGAATGCTTCAAAACGAATAGCAGATTTTACATATATGCAGTATTGTTTTAGCTTAAATTACTGAAATATGGCAGGACAAAGATGAAAATTTAGTACAGACATTCATAATTTAACATCAATAAAATGGTCAGTGTAACATCACTTAACATCCTAATTGTGCATTAATTATAAAAATTAATTACTACAGCAGTTTATTGAAATTCTTGTACTGTGGTCATTAAAAACAGTACACATGAAACATTTATGATGAACTCAAATATGCACTGCTGGCCACCGAAACTGCAACACCATAACATATTGATCAAGTATCAAATGATTAAATTTATAGACTTCTCTGAAGTGTGGTTCCTTCCAAAATCAGTAGCCAGAGTAGCCACCATTGTTGGAGATCACCGCTGCTACACGCCTCAGCATTGATTCAAAGAGACTTTGGATGTGTTCTTGGGGTAGAGCAGACCAAGCAGCTTCCACACGTTGCCAAATTTGATCTGGTGTGGCAGCTTGGGATGTAGTAATCTGGGTCAATCGTTCAGCAACCATGGACCACATGTTTTCTATTGGCGAAAGATCCGGAGAGCGAGCCAGACAGGGAAGAAATTCAATCTGGCGATTGATGAAGAACTCTTGGACAATGGGTGCCACGTGTGGCTGCGCATTATCCTGTTGAAATATGGCTGTGGGCAAGCCCTGAAGGTAAGGAAGGACAACTGCCTCCAATACCTCGGAGATGTAGCGCTGGCTGTTTAAAGTACCTGCAATGCATATTAGAGGAGTGCGAGAGTGATATCCAATACTGCCTCATACCATAATACCCAGTGCAGGACCAGTGTGGCGGTGCATAATGCAGCTGTTCAACATCCTCTCTCACGGTGTCTCCAGACTCAAATACGACCATCGTGGTGTTGCAGATAAAGCGTGACTCATCAGTAAAGACAATTTCATTCCATTCTGCCGCCCACATCCTGCTTTCATTGCACCATTGGTGGCGGAGACGTCTGTCATTCTACATCAAGGGTACACGAAGCAATGGACATCTCGCGGACAGACCACTCTGCTGTAAACAGCATCGAATGGTATGCACAGACACTGGATGATGCGTTACAGACTGAATGTGCTGTGCTATGATTCGTGATGTGACTGAGCGATCCGTCACTGCCATGCGCTCAATGTTCCTGTCATCACGTGAAGTGGTGCACTGAGGTGGATGTGATCGAACACGTCGGTCCGTCGTACCCTCCTGCATCCAATGGTCACTTATCCGCATTAAAGGTTTGGTTTCATCCAACACGACTACCAATTTCGCTGAAAGATAATCCACACTCTTGGTAGGCCACTATCCTTCCTCTGTTGAACTCGGATACTTGATCAAATGATGATCGCCGTTTACTAGAAGGCATAATTGATCCTTTTTTTTTTTTTTTTTTTTTTGAAAAACATCGAAATCATCGAATTTAAAATCATTTTAAAATCATCGAAAACTCCAAGCCTTAAATAACACTTTGATGTGCGTCTGTGCTGAAATTCTAATCATTTGCATATCTCACCTCCGCTAATGCATGTTGTAAATTTCCTGTTATTTGCATTCTTCCTGCAGGGTGTTGCATTTACGATCAGCAGTGTATATAAGGAAAAAATCAGGAGGATTTCATGTCTAGAGATCTGAAAGGACAAGGTAAAAAGCATCTTGTACCTTGTACAGTTCATTCAGCAATAAAGAAATGTTAAGTAGTATATCTGAACTAGGAATAAATCTTTCTTCTTTTCCTTTCGACATGTTATTTTGATACATTTTTCGACAGAAAGATAGAGATTTGGAAGAAAGTGAAATCTGTTCTCCCTCCACCCAAAAAACAATCCTTATTTTATATTTTAATAATGACTTGATATTTACATAAACAAATTAGAAAAACCTAATGTTTTCACAGATCATATTTTAAGGGAATTAAAAGGAAAATATATGACGGTTATTTAGAAAGTAACCTATGTTTTGGCATGCAGCAACGAGAGATGGTGTTAGCATCCCAATATTGGTGTCTAATGAATACTTACACATGTAATCGTTGGCGGTATGTGTTGCCTCCGTGTTTTTCACTGTGAAGGTTTAAAATGTGTGTGGCATTAGAAAATAATAATTTTGTGAAATAGACGAGACTCGGTATGTTCGTGATTTATGAGACAAAACAACAGTACATGGAGTGGGGTCACACAAGTTCTCTCATAAAAACAAGGAAATGTTTGCAAACATTGTCATCAAGAAAGATACTGGTAAATATTGGGACAGGGAAAGTGTGCTTCTGGTGGATTACCTCAAACGTCGTGAAACAATAAATAATAAAAGATATTGAGAAACATTTAGAAGAAAGCTAAGAAGAGCGATACAAGACAAGTGTCGAGGAAAGTTGAGTTAAGGATTTTTTCATTCATGACAAAGCACGCCCCCACAGAGTCATTTGAACTCGACGGCTATTGGATGGTTTTGGATAAGAGCTATTGGATGGAGAACGTAGAGTACTACGTTCATCTGCCATACAGGCTGAACCTAGTTCCTAGCAGTTTCCACACATGAAAACCTGGCTTGTAACACAGCACTTCAGTGATAATGAGGAACTCCATGCAGGTGTCTGTGCATGGTTGAAGTATCAGGTGGCAACATTCTATAACAATGGAATTGACAAGCTCATGTATCATTGTGATAAATGTTTGAATTTATGCAGAGATTATGTAAGAAAAATAGCTGAATAATGTGCCTTTCAAATATGGGTAATAAAAAACATTTACTTTCATTTTCTTTAAATTCCAAAACTCAAGTTACTTTCTGTACGATATAACTACTAAACTTTAATTCCTTTCTTTTTCAATGTTAGGAGGCTTTATTAAAAATCGATTATAAAAAAAAAAAAGGAATATATGCTTTCATCATTATTAGCACAGAAGGATTCTTCTTTGATAGCATAGTTGCCAGCCTTGAAATATGAAAAAATAGGTAGTTCTTGTGCCAGAAACCCAGAGTTTTGGGGAGGTTTTTGTATTGCATGACAGCATCATTTCAAAAGAACTCTAGATTGGTTTAATTTACTTCATCATGTGTTATTTCGGTAAGGCAACTATTTATAATACAGTTCTTACATAGAAATATTAATATTTAATTAGATACTTTACATTTTATGCTCTTTGCCTAATTTCATTTTGTAAATCTTTTATCACTTTTATACTGAGAAAACCCTGAATACAGAAAGAAAGCTTTACACAGAACACAAATAATTAATGTATGTACTATTGAGTAGATAAAATTAGTAATATGGCACATATTAATGCAAAAACAGGCACATAATTGACGCAAAAATAAACTTCAATACAAATATTAAATGATTAAACATTTGTTGAAGTTTCACAAAAAATTTTACTGATGTCTATAGTAGATTCAGACAATTCAGATCAAATAAAATTTAATGACAGAAATTATACTCAAAATCATTAGGAATGGGGGAATGAAATTTTCACAATTTAAGTTTCATTAATTCAATAAATTTCATATACATCTGAAGAACATTGTTATAAAGGCTAAAATTTAAAAATTCTGAGATTCAGTGATTTATGCCATGATGAGGAGGTAGCTCGAAAAACCAGGAGAGTTGGCAGTTGTGATATGTATAGTATCATGATAAACAGCAATTTTTAGTTCATTTATATGTTTATTCTTTACTTTATTCAAATAAGTATATAATAATAATTTTTACTTCAAAAATATATAAAATCATTAAAAGGAAATAAATAAATACAAAATTAATATCTGATTATCAAATATCCATTTAAAACAAAATAAGATTAAATTTTCATGAAGTCTAAAATTCAAAACTCAGAGATTCATGATCTACTGAAGACGTAGAGGGTTTAAAAAAACCAGGAAGTTGAGTTATGTATAGTGTTATGATAAACGGAAACTTTTAGCACACTTATATATTTATTCTTTACTTTATTTTGAATAATTATATATTAATAATTTTTACTTCAAAAATCCTCAAAAGGAAATCAATGTAATAAGAATTAATATTTGATTACCAAACATCCATTTGAACCAAAATAAGATTAAATTAATATTATGTTATTTCCAAGAAAACGCAGATTGAAATGTCCCCCCCCTTTTTGAGACATGAAAAAGTCACGAAGCCAAAAAGGCTTGGCTGATATAGGCTAGTTCCTTTAAATATTGTAGCAGATTTTTTTTTTTCCATAACAGATTGTGAACAGTTACATTTTTGTAACAGAGTCCATTAGTCTATACTAAGGCCAGATGTGGTGATCTCTTTATTATGGAGGCACCTAATAGCTGGGCCACCACTGCCTCCTATGATGGGACGGACAGTTACAACCATGCCTTCTCCGGGATTCGAAACCAGGCCCTTCAGCATCAGACAGGCTCCCCTAACCACTATACCGTCTGGGCGGCAATGATTATAGGATACTCTATATTTGGATAGCAAGTTAGAATTACACTCATTTCTATTTCACACTTATTGAATTAAGTTTTTCAATATCTTAATTGAAAAAATAATCAAAATTTTTAAAAGAAAGTTTGTCATGAAAATTTAAAAGATAGAATCATGGTATTCCACAAGCCAAAATTTCAGACATTCCTTCAAATGTGTAAAATAATTAAAATCAAAGTATTGTAAGAAAATAGTACATCAGATACCACAGTTTTGAAAATAAATAATAAAAATTGGTAAACAGCCAAAATAGTATTCTTATTCATATTTTAGTGATGCATGGACAAATTTTTTATGATATAAATTAACATTAATAAATATCATTTTTTAATGACACAACTTACACATAATACTTTAAGCTTAGCTACAGCTAATTTACTTTCTATTTTTAAATTCATAGCATACTGCAAAAGAGTTTAAATCTTACTGACCTTTTCTTATACCATAAATTATACTCATATTATGAAAATCTACCCTTAAAAAATTAGCACAGCATAATGAAATCATATCAAATTTAATTAGAACTTCATTAGAAAAATTTGTTTGAAGAAATTTCTGTACCTGAAGAATAGCTTGTGAAGCTCTGTGTTTTCCATCTCTTTTATTTTTACATACTACCTAGAAGTGGAAAGCAAATAATGATAAGATAAATTACATAAGCATACAAGTAATTCAAAAATTATAATAAGGCTGAAATAAGTTTACTTTTGGCTTTTTATAATTTAGAACAACATAATCAAAATTGTTACTAGTTTTGAATTAATCGCAATTTATTATTTTAAATCGAATTTTTTTATTAAGTATTTTTATGAAAAAAATTTTTACATTCACCTTTCTGATCATTTTTCATATATAAATTATTATCGTAACTGTAATAATTGTTCTGAGTTCTGATGAAGCATTTACATTAGTCCTGTATTACATGTAAGATTAGATATATAATGTAATATACCAATTGTATTTAGATAAATTTATTTAAGTACAATAAATTTATTAAGCACGATTTGCTAGTACACAAAAGATCAAGGCAATAGAACCAATCAATTTAAAACTGAAAATTGTAATGGTAATAGAAGAAATATGAGGGTTACAAACAAATTTAAAATTTAAAAAAGGTTATGTTGATCCAATATAATTAAAGAGAAAGTGAGAGGAAGTAAAAGTTTGCAGTAAGATAACAAATCAATATTCTGAGTGAACTACGAAGAAGATATATCAGTGCTCTTGAATGTTTTCAAGAAGTGCAGTTAGTGAATTCTCTGAAGATAACATATTGTTGACATTCATTTTTTTAGAGTTATTGCAATTTGCAGTCACATTTTCCTAGTGAGTTAATAAGCTATTGCACTAATGAGTATATTAATGGAACTAAAATAATTTTTGGAGTCAGAATGATACTAAGAATGAAATATTCTCAACTTCATATAAATTCAAGTGCAAAAACTTAAGTCTCTTTGATGTAATTATGCTTTAATAAATAAGGTTTTATCAATGTTCAAAGTAGATATTTATTTAAAATTTTTAAATAACATGTTGGTTTCTGTAGCCTTGTCTGAAAATAATTATTTATTTAGAAATTTACATGATTTAGTTGTAATTATCTGTTAAAATTTTATTTATTTATTTATTTATTGATAATTTCAGACACATTGAGAACAACAACTAAAGTTGGTAAGGTTAAAATAATGATTACCTTTACAAAACATCCATAATTAAAAGTCAGAGAAACCTGTGAGTTTTACATAAAATACTTACAGAAACTTGATGTTTCCCTGCTTTCATTAAAAATTCATTTTTCTGATGCTTTAAGTTCCGCATTGTAAAATAAATTTCAGTATCGCCCATACCATAATTCCTAAAAATAACAAACAAACTTTGAAGAAAAATATATTTATACACAAAAAAATTTTTATGTAGCAATAAAATTAGAATAACATGCATCTCAGATTAATATATCGATTTTCATACCTTTTTAAACATTCTAGTAATATTTGGTAAGGATACGGTTGTCCAGCTTTCACAGAAAGTTCACAAACACGTGGATCTTCAACTCGTACTTGATCAAAGAACTAATATGAAAGTTTTGTGTAAATTTCAGATATATATATATATATATATACATATTTAAAATAAAGAGATATAAATGTATTATGTAATTACAGTATCACAAATTTTTTGAAACAAAATTATTCCTATATTATTTCCATGCAATATGCTACTGAAAAATTAATCAATTATAAATAAAAAGTAAGAAATTTAGAACCAAATTCACAAAGGAATGGCAAAAATGAAATTCAATAACAGTAAAATCCATTTCCCAATAAATATACGTAATCAACCACAACTGTATTTCTGTATCTGTAGTTTTCAGGAATTCTTCTGGTTTAGTGACAAATGGTTCATATTTTTTACATATATTTATCAGGAATTTTGAAGTTAACTGGTATTGAATTTCATTTCTTTCATGTCTTTGTGAATTTGATTATAAATTTCTTACTTTCTATGTAATATGTAATGTACTTAATATGATGTGTGCAATACATAAATAGATATAATTTTTAAAATTATACAAAAAAAATCAAACACCATTTTAAAAAATAAATATAAGTAGCCCACATTAAATACACATGTTACGTTTTGGAGTTGTAGCTAGATGTCATTTATTAAAAAAAATTCACTTTGTGCAGAAGAAAATAACTCTACAACCTACAAAAAACATAGGACTTATTGCCAATTTTATTCACACCCTAAAAGCAAGTATAAAGAAGGTAATGTATAATGAGAAATCAAATTATGGCCAGTGCATCAGTACACAATATATACACACACAATACAGCTATTACACCCACACTGTACACTACAGATTTATTAGTGATCAGTTTTATAGAATAACAAGTACATCTAAGGGGGGGGGAAGGACAGCTAAAGCCCACACATTTAAAAGCATATACAGAATACATCATTTATATACTGAATTATTTGGTTATTTTTCCCTTATTAATTTATGTCATTATCTAATTGTATTCTGTGTTCAGTTGCTTTTCTGATGACAGATTTGTTGGAGATTGTTACCATTTCTAATAAGTTGTTTAGAGATGTTGGGAATTAAATCTCACATATATCCAGAAGGCATGACTATGAAAAGTAGCTCTTGAGTAATTAAGATTAACATTTTGCTTATGCTGATAAAGATGTACTATTCTGAGTGAACTATGAAGAAGATATATCAGTGCTCTTGATATATCTTCTTCATATCTTCTTGTCTCTGAAAATAAATGTTATGCAAAGTGCTTGTTAGAAGGCTTTTAAATTTAATAATCCCTTTATACTTCTTGTTTATACAACTGAAAGTCAACAAGAATGACATATCCCACATTATTTGTACATTGCTTGAGTCAAAAGCACCAGAAATGAAACATTGATTAAAGATTATGACTGGTAAGCATTACTGAGCTTTCCGCACTATCTCTGATTTATACACTATCAATGGCAGATATCTTGTTCTGTGTAGCACTTAATTACATGGTTAAATGTCCTAAACAAGAAGAATTTTCTAGTCCAGCAATGCTCTCAAAGACTGAGCTTAATACAAAAACCTCCTGAAATGCATATTTTGAAAGACTCATTTCAATGTAAAAACATGTAAAATGTCATAAAACTTCCAAATAAGAAAGTCTCCTTTTGTTGACTTGATTAAAAATTTGACTATTCAAGTTTTACAATCATGACAAATGAGAACATGAAACTGAAGGAAAGTCACAACTAGTTACACAAACAAAAATACAAATAGCAAATTTCTCAGTATAATTTAATAGTCACCTTTGAGGTTATTATATAGCATAAAACTTCCAAATAAGAAAGTCTCCTTTTGCTGACTTGATTAAAAATTTGACTATTCAAGTTTTACATATCATGACAAATGAGAACATGAAACTGAAGCAAAGTCACAACCAGTTACATGAGCAAAAATACAAATAGCAAATTTCTCAGTATAATTTAATACTCACCTTTGACATCATTATATAGCATAGAATCTTTACTTTTCTAAATACTAACATTTGAGAACTAGCAAGAAGCCAACAGGTTTCACAAACCTGAAGAAGAATGAGAACGTAAAACACCTCCTATATATACTGACTACCAATAAGTATTTGGACACCTATGCAAATGACAATATCTGCAGTCCCAAGGTACGTCACGGACTCCGCCGGTATATATCGTGTAGGAAACAGCATCGGCTTTAGTTGCATGCAAGATGCCTCACAGTTCAGAGCTTTCTGATTTCGAGAAAGGTATAATTATCGGGTATCACAAATGTGGTCGATCCTTAAGGGACATATCTAGCGATCTGAAGTACCCAAAATCAACAGTGGCCTATGTGATTAAGAAGTGGAAGGTGAGCGGTGATTGTTGGAATGTGCCCCGAGTCGGCAGACCAAAGAAACTGGGAGATAGGGACCGACGAGTGCTGTCGAGAGAAATTCGGTGGAACTGCACACAACCGATGGCCCTCATCCGCGAGAAGTTTCAACAGGCATCCGGGAGTATTGTTTCAATGAATACCATCCGTAAGGAAGTGAATCTGCTTGGTTTTCATGGTCGTGCTGCTGCCCATAAGCCTTTGATCACAGCCAACAGCGTTGTCCAACAACAACAGTCAAGTCCAACAGCACTGCTCGGTTAATGTGGTGCAAAGCACATTGAAATTGGACCGTAGATCAGTGGAAATGGGTTCATTGGAGTGACGAGTCAAGGTTCACCCTTTACCATTCGGATGGCAGGGTCTGGGTCTGACGTCTACCTGGAGAACGTCTCCTGCCAGAATGCATTGTACCAACAGTCAAGTTCGGCGGAGGTGGAATTATGGTCTGGGGGTGTTTCTGCTGGTATGGGCTGGGACCCTTGGTCCCCATTCATGGTAAGCTCAACTCCGATGCCTACTGCACTATTTTGGATGACAATGTGCTTCCTACGTTGAGGCAGTTTTGTGGGTTGGACCCCTGTTACTTTCAAGACAACAATGCCAGTTGTCATGCTTCGACGTTAACCAAGGCTTGGTATGGTGCCAATGGAATTCATCGAATGAACTGGCCTGCCCACAGTCCATACCTGAACCCTATCGAGAACCTCTGGGACGAGTTGCATCGCCGAATTCAGGGGTGCACTACCCGTGCAAAAATCGGTGAAGGAACTTCTACGTCTTCTCCAAGCTGAGTGGAAGAAAATACCACTAGCTGTCATACAAAGACTTGTGGAAAGTATGCCCCGGAGGGTCCACGCTGTAATTACCTCTTGTGGAGGCTCTACCAACTATTGATTTTGAATAAAGTTAGTTTTTCTTTTCTATCACAGGTGTCCAAATACTTATTGGTAGTCAGTGTATATTATGATAGCTTGCAATTAATTATCAGTCTTCTGCTGTTCCTATTTTAGGACATATTTATGAAATTTTTCATAGTTCAAATCACTATGTTGGCTATAATGGCTATCAGTATTCATAATCATTTCATGAAGCAATAACTCCAGATAAGAAAGTTCTTATTTTCTTAAAATTACAAATTTGGGAATTAAATTAACATAAAGTCACAACTACAATACAATGTTGAGAATATACAGAACATAATATTTGCTGTGGAAAACAATATGACCATACGAAAGAGAATGAAGGTCTTGCTAAATATGATTACCGTAATTTCGCGTGTATAGTCCGCGGACTATCTGTGTTTAAAGTGCGAATTTTTGAAGCTGCGGACTATCCACCAGTGCGGATAATACCTGGTTGTTCACGGTTAAAATCGTTGAAATTTAAAAAACACGCTGTCGTGAACTGCCGATGATCAAATATAAAAAAAGCGCGAGATTCCAAGAAAACATTCGTATGTATCGTATCGATAGTAAACCATAGAGCATAGTGCAGAACGAATGAGTAGTAGCAAGTAGAGCTCCTAAAATCCAGGCTCGCGCATCAAGCGATGCCGGGATATGAGCCAAAGAAAGTCTTGTGTGAGCACTCACTTAGCGCAACCAGAGTCTTGTATCCCAGTATCCTTCGCACTGCTTTAGCGCAACTGCCGGGAGGGGGAAAAGTAATGCGTCAGCTCGGTTTTTAGGAGCCATAGTAGCAAGTACCTGGAGTAGGAAGAAAAAAGCGTGATTCGGCAACACCGAGTGAGTGGGGTCGAAGGTCACATTTCATTACCACTTATCACGAGTATAGCACGTTGCACAGTATTTTGTTTTCGTATTTTGTCTTTCATCTTCGATAACGTTGATGAAACATCCCCAAAGTTTTTACTGCTGAGTTAAACTCAAGGTAGTTGAGAAAGCTGAATAAGATGAAATAGAGAAGCGGGCCGTTATTGGTTTAATATTAGTATTCGGTGCATACGGGATTTGGCTACTTTTGGCGACTTTATGATGAGCAGTGAAAACGGGACATATACGATGAGTAGTTAGCGGGTCATTCAAAGAAAATATATAGTTAAACATAGTATATACTATGTATATAGTATATATACTATGTGTGTATACTATATATATAGGCATTCTTTGGATCATTTTTGGTGTTGGCGATAATTTTCAAAGTCGCACCAAGGCTGCACCGTGTACTAGGATTTTACCCTGTTATTTTGAAGTGGACGAGAAAGCGGTGAGAAATTGGCGCAAACAAAAGGATGTGTTTAAAAGGCATGGGAATATTGCCGTATTAAAAAAACATAATTTCGGACGTATAGTCCGTGGACTATCCGGTGGTGCGGACTATCTGACGATTTTTGAAAATTTTTTTATATAAAATCGTGTCTGCAGACTATACGTGCGAAATTACGGTACTTTCATCTAATCAATCTATTATTATTCAGTTCAGTAACATATCCACCCCCTGAAAAATCATTGTTGTCACAAATTCATTCGATTTTTATAAATAATGTAACAAAACTTTCTATTTTTCATCAATTCATTATATATTAGTATCACAAATGTATACTAAGAATACAAAAGCAGCAATAAAATAAACATTCCAAAAAGTCTCTTAGCATGCAGCAAGTATGTTCCAGCAAATAATATGATACTTCTCATTACACATGCAATAATTCATTTATCAAAATAAGCTATAAGACATACCTCAACATCCTGAAGTTCTTCTCCACTCTGCCCCTCAGGAGGGAACATCTTCATTTTTGGAATTAATATTTCAAGTGCTGCTTTTGCTAAATAAACAATCAAAAATTAAACTTTATGTTTTCCTTTAATTAAATTATTTTTATAGATAATTAAATTATACATTACAGCTGTAAGTAAAATAAGCTAACCATACTTTATCTAACAAAGCTTATTTTATAATATGCAAAAATGCTGACATGCCATATTAATACAGTAGAACTCCAATTATCTTAATCAACTGACACCGGACCTCGTTCGGATAATCAAAAATTAGGATAATTGGAATTTTTCTGAAGAAAGGGTCTACATGCACTTAAATTAAACGCTGTATGCAATGAAAATGTTGAAACTGGGAGGGAAAAAACTGTTTTTAAAGAAAAAGAGGTTTCAATTAATTAAAATGAAACTCTTTTATGTACACTACGCAAAAACTCTTAACACTTTTATGTACACTACGCAAAAAAAAAGGGGGGACAGTTCTATACCTCCCGTTCTATTTGGCCAATTGACAAAAGTCAAATTGCATTTTTCTTGTCTCGAAAGTGGGACTTAGATTATATATTAGATACATATATTGCACTGTTTTAATATAGGTAGTTTGATGCAAAATCAGACTTTTTCTGAAATAACATACCAATTTTTTTTTCTATATTTCGATTCTAAGATTCAAATTATGCCCAGATGTTAAATTTTGTAAAATTTGGTGCAAAATTTACAGAGAAATTCAAAAAAATTTATCTTGGCAAAATTTTTTCAGTTTGGCCAAGAATAATTCACTTGGTGAATTTCTTAATATGTGGCAATCAATTTTCCTTTGCCTTCCATTATGCCGGAGTGGAAAAAAAGGCACCTCGCTCCTACCTTTTTACATCGTGTATGAGCAGAAAAAAAGTCACATCGTTTCTACTTCCAAATAATTTTAGCAAAGTGTTTAAACCACATCTGATGTTTTATCGCTTTCAACAAATATGCCAAATTTCAAAACATGCCAAAATATAAATTCACGTATATCTTCGGAAATTTTGAATTAAAAAAATTGTAATTTTTTGCAAGCGTGCTTAGAAATACGTCTACTTTAAGATGATGGTAAAAATTTTACAGATTATAATTCAAAAATTTTTTGAAAAATTTATAAAAATTATTTTAAAATAAATCATAAAAAATGGATGAATTTTATTTGGAATGAACCTGAATTTCAAAATGTGAAAGGAAGAATCAAATAAACTTAATAAAAAAGAGAGATTAATCAATATATATCAAACTCAATTAACACTGAGGAGCTAAAATTTTGAGAGCTAATTTTTTAAAAACTGCTCGTGCGATTTTTTACAAAACTTAGTAGTTTGGCGTAATTTGAGTTGCAAAATTGAAATATGGAAAAAAAAATTGGTATGTTATTTCAGAAAAAGTCCGATTTTGTGTCTAAATACCGATATTAGAACAATGATATATATAAATCTAATACATATCCTAAGTCGTGCTTTCGAGACATGAAAAACTCAAGTTGAATTTCGTCAATTGGCCCAGTAGAACCGGAGATATAGAACTGCCCTCCTTTTTTTTTGTGCAGTGTACATGTTATATAATATACTGCATAGTACTTGCAAATGCTGAAAGTCATTGCTTGCTGAGTATCTTGGTCAAAGTAAGCTGTTTGATGGACACTGTGCTTGCACTTAAAATTTCTTAGCCATCTCTTACTTGCTTTAAAGGATGAACGAACAACCAGGCTTTTGAGCTAAGATCTTAGCTTTTCACAAAGAATCGGACACGAAATTGGGACGACATCTTCTAAATTTTTGTTTGTTGCTGCCTTCATTGATTTTCTTCTGTCTTCATTTTCAAGCAGTGACACGAAGTTTAAAATTGTAGGTTTACTTCTTTTAATGTCTGAAATCGTTGATTGTCCAACATTATGTTCCCGTCTTAATTTTTTTTTTTTTTTTTTTTTTTTTTTTTTTTTTTTTTTTTTTTTTTTTTAATTCTGAAAGCGATTCAGATAAATTGGAGTTGTACTATATACAGAACTGTCAATACCTACCTGCTTCTGACTTAGCTTGTTTCTTGCTACTTCCATATCCAGAGCCATACTCCATGTCATTTATCATGACAATAGCACCATAAGGCATATTTGCACTCTCTGAATAAACAAAATATATATTATTTCAAAAATAAAATTCTTCATATTTTAATAACAGAATTTAAAGCAAGATTTTCTTTACAAAATTCAAAATTTCCTTTTTTTTCTGAAACTTACATACATTAAATAAGAAGTTGTAATTATATTTTAAATTAATCTCAATTCCTTATTCAATATGCATAAGTTTAATACACAAGACTGGGATTATAAAATACACAAGACTGGAATTAATTTTATCACATAAGTACTAAGAAAGATCTGAGGAAACATATTTAATGCCTTCATTCAATTATAAAAATAGAAATGAGATTCAAAATTTTAATCTACAACTAATGAAATATTTAAATTTTGATTCCTGCAATTAAAGAAACTTTTTTTTTCATTTCTATGAAGATTATATTCAGTTCCTTAAGCCCAACATACATTTTCAGAAAATTATTTACTCTCTCTCGAAAAGCAGATATATACAGCCTCAATTTTTTTATTAATAAATGGAACGAAATACAAGAAGCAATTTCTTGCAGTTCATTTTCTACAATGAAACCTAAGAATAGAAGAAAATTATTTTTATTTCGTCTATACCATATTTTTTTAAAACATGTCTTAGAATAACTCAAAGAATCATATTTCAATATATTCTTAAAATCATTCCCTTAAAAAATAAGACAACCTACCAAATCTTTAAATGTCGGCATTTCAACTAAATATTTATAGTAATTTCAGTCATTTCATAACTAAAACCTAATTCCTTTATTGTAAGAAACCCACAAGGCATCTTTATTTCCTTTAATTTACAATATTGGCCTTTTCTGAAAAACCTTATTGAACCCAGATAATGTCCATTATCTGACTTCATTCAGCATTATAATAGAACTTAAGTATAGCAGCTGCAGCAATCATATAAAATCAAATGCAAGTGAACGGCAATGATCAAATATAAAAATACTTATATTTACAAACTGGTATCTAAAATTATCTTTATATGCATGAAATATTTACTGAAGGAAATAACCATTCTGAGTTTTACTTTTTCCTGGAATTAGCATAAGGCAAACCTAATTGCCATAATCCAATCCAGTTCAATCAATCTGTTTCTGAAAAGCAAATCATAACATAGCATCATTTAAAGGTATAGAAAGTGCTTTGAAGATAGTATGCTTCCCTCTGAATTTTGCAATTCAGTATTTGATTTCACTTTTTATATGAGTCAAAATGGTTTTTATGATGCTAAAGTATATCATCTGGAAGAAATTTGCTGTGGAGAATTGCTGGTCATTTAGATGCAGACAATTATGACAGTATAAATATTGTGTAAAGACACACAATTTTCAATGACAAGTGAAGGTTCAGGTTAAATCTAATTCTAAGCTAATTTATATCTGGAGGAAGCCATGGAACTGCAAATATTCTCACCAATATTAGGACAGGAAAAATTTTCATCACTGTTATGATAATGCAGATGTAATGATATGTGCAGGAATAATGATTAATGGGCATATTTCCCTACATTTGCTGGACAAAAGAACTTCTTAATCCATAGATATATAAAGAATGAAGTCTTGCAGACCTATGTAAAGCCTTTTAAGAGCGCATGTGGATCTCATTTTCTTTTCATTGATGATAATGAGCATCCACACTCAGCAGACATGACTGATGAATGTGAAACCATTGATTGAATAACAATATTCTGAAACTAAAAGCATTGCATTAGCCAAATTCCTAATAAGAAGTCCATTGAGGAATAACAGGGAATACTTGAAAGAGTTCTTAAATAGAAAAATTCTACTCTTATATATTAAAACTTGAAAGATTTATATTAAAGGAAGGATAGCATTTATGCCTCAAATTTTAATAAACAATCTTACAATGAGACAACATCATGTTATACGATTATATAAGTTAAAGAAGGTCAGATTTTCTAGATACATCAAAAATCCACATTTCTAAAGCTCTTCACTTTAAAGAAGCATTCAATTCAGTTGAGTTTTTGACTTTTTTTATGTCAGAGATATCAGAAATGCCCTCGCTGGGACTCGAACCTGGACCTCTTGAATACACACTGAGTGCACTACCATTACACCATGAAGGCAAGCAGAAAGAAGGTAGAAAATACCTTATATACTTCCCCTTTTAAAGGACAACTGGGGATCAGCAGACCCAGTCACCAAATCTTGGTGGAGTAGAATCATTATCCACCACCTTTTAGTTTGAGTGCACTGAAGAATCATTAGGGTTTTTTGATGTAGAAAACATGAAAAATGAGCAATGCCCTCCTTGAGACTTAAACCTGGACCTCTCGAATATACACCAAGTGTGCTACTGTTACACCATAAAGGCATGCAGAAAGGAAGGAGAAAATATCTTATAACTTTTCCAAAAATTTTGTTGTCATGTGTTATATCAGTTTTATTTCTTTCTTATAATTGTATGTCATATGTCTTAATATTTGATCTGCTATTTATATATTACAATGATATATTTTTCTACATAAATTCCTTGAAGTCAATAGTTTTTCAGAAATCAATGTTTTTATGCGAGTTAAGATAATTTTGTCTATCAGTGCATTTTTTCAATGGAAGGCCTTATGTGTAATATGAAGCATTTTGTAGCATTACCATCTGCAAGATTTACAATATCTTTTAAACAAGCAAAGATTCCTAAACCAAGGAATTATCAGTTTTCAGTGACAAAAAGAATCTGTATTTTGCTAATATTTTAATTCTAAAATGAAAACAAGCATAATAAAATCTTTTCATTTATATTCAATCTTGGCAATACTCATAAAAATTAAAATGATTGTGATTACTTGACATTTTGAAAATGAATTAAACAAGCAACATTCCAAATGAAAGATATATGATTATTCTAATGCAGATTAAGCCGACAGTTTATACAAGGGAATACATTTACCCTAAATATTATATTTTTATTGCAAAATGCTTACCTAATTCTTTAAAAATATATCTTGGCTGAACTCTCAAAGTATGTTGTACGTATTCATGCAGAATGCAAACTGGAGATTTACCACTAGGATTCATAATAAACTCTATGATGAAAGAAAACAGAATTTATTTTTATATATATACATATATACTACACTCCACAGCTTAATTTTGTTAATAGCTCTGCTTATTCAATATAATTTGAAGAGATTAACTTAATAATCAAAGTAGTTAGACCAAAAATAATCTATATTATCCTTTGAAGATTAATGTTAAAACCTGTCGAATTAATATTTTAATTATTAAATTAATTATCAAATAAAAAATATATACTACTTACAGTAAAACAAATCACTAACCTCTTTTAGTATTATTTCCAACTGTCGCACATTTGTCAGCAGCTGAAGGCAGTGGGCATGTTATCAGCTTTGTACTATCAGGCTGTAATGAATGTGTATTTATATTGTAAACTAACTATTATGTTTGCATAAAGGGATTTGCAATGTATATTTTCATGAAGCTAAATATTAAAGAATATTTTCTAAGACATATAATATTTATCACTCTTATTTCATTTATTCTTCTACATAATTATCAAGCAACCATAACAAAGATAAGCTATGAAAAATTAGAGAGCAAATAAATGAAAAATTCTTATATTTTTGAATTTTATAGTAATAACAGGAAAAATGATTTTGTTATCATGCAAAATGTAATTTACTGATTTTGGTTAGTTATTTAGTTCTTGAATCGTATCACTAAAATGCTGTTTTCAAATTCGACATGCAATAAAATGGCAGGAAAAAAAAAAGAAATTATTAAAACAACCAATTTTAGAGTCACCACGTAAAAAATAACTAACTAATTAAAAGTGTAGATCACAAACTACATGGTTACAAATTATTTTTATGAAATTCATTTAAAAAGAATAATAATAATAATTTAAAAACTGTAAGCTTTGAATCTACAGCAGCCAATAAAGATTATACTTCTCTTGATAAATAAATGGGTTATAATCTTCATAATGATTTTGCCTAGAACTTAATTTCATGTTTCGGAGTTTATGAAAAAGTCACACAATCACTTCAACTTCTAGCACATTCATGATAAATTCACTCACTTACATTTATAAGCTAAAAATAGAAAATGTACTAATTTATTTGTCAAAAGATGAAACAAGCAGACATTTAAGAAGAATTCCCTTAAGAAATTTCCTTTTAAATGCATGAATTACATAACATACATCATTGTGGCTTTTCAAAAGGATTACATAAAGCATAGCATTTTAATCTCTTACATATCCTCCATCAGAATGAATCAAATATTTTAATGGCCCTAAATTAAATGCTGTTGGATTATAAAATTTTTGGTGTTACAATGAGAAGAGAAATTTTTTATATTCTTTACATAAGAGTACATTAACGCACCAAAGTACCACTGAATTAGGGTATTGATCAGTAATAAGGTTCCGCTTCTTGGACTTTAATGACTCCTGCCACATAATGAGATAAGGATTTACAAGTCTACTGAAGTTCTTCAGAAGTCATAGCAAACATTTTCTATAATGTTTTATAAATCAGTTAAAGAAGCTGGTGGTATATTGTATACATCTACACCTTTTTCCAGAGTACCTCAAAAATATTCAATTAAATTTAAGTCTGGGGCTTTGGGTGGCAATTTCAGCAAGTAAAATTTAGTAAAATGCTCCTCAAACCAGGCAATATTAGCCAGGATCTGTAACAGAAGTAACTCTCAGGATAGTGCATTCTGTTTCTATGCAGATGACAAAAAAGTATGAAGGGATGCAATCTACATCCCAGCACATCTGCATACTTAAAGGCACTGAGGCTGCTTGTTACAAATATCAAAGGTTCAAATATTACCCTAAAATCTAGGAGTTCTTAACTGAAGGGGATGAAGTCAACCTGTTACTTGTCTATTAAATATTTAGTATTAGTTTAAAAATATAAAAAATTACTTTTATTCAAGTTATGGTATTTATCAACATTTTCTATAGTTTTTTCTTATTTAATTTATAAAACACATTAAAAAATAATTTAATTTAAGCAAATGTATATGTTTTTTTAATTTTGAAAAGGGAGGATAATCGTCTAGCAATAGTGAAAAAGACACAGAGCAAAGAAAGGTTGGGAACCACTGCCCTAGGATATCACTGGAACACCACGACCTTATACAGTTCCAACCTGGCAAAGCTACAATCACAGTGATCTAAAATCCATATAAGATATAAAGCATGGTAGTTTGAAGTGAGAAGCGGTCATCTGGGCTAAGGTTTGGTGTCACTGGCTATGTAGGATATGGTTGTGTCTTTAAATATAACCATAATTCAAGGTTGCCTTTCCTTACAGTTTACTTATTGCTCTTTCTTTTTCGTTATTTGTGTATTCTCATTATACTCTTGATACTGTAGAATGAAAGTACCATGATTCTCAAGCTATTTCTGAAACAGTATTGCCTATGCATTGAGTCATTATTCACAGTCGATCAAAAGCATCTAAATTGCCAGTTTTACCCAACTTACTTAATAATTCCTTAGCAAGGGCTACAATTTCAGCTATATAAATTCTATGCCTGTGTTCACATATGCTCAGAAATGAGGCATCAGCACCACAATATTTGCATAATGCCATTTATTACTAATTCAGAGAGTTAAAAAACAAATTTCATATCAGCCAAATTACTAAAAAACATTACTGAAAATGCTTTTACCAGTTTACTATTCTGTATAAATCTGATTTAAATAATTAAAATATTAGAATGGCAGTAAATAAAAAATTAATCACAGTAATTATTAAAACCTTTAATCACAGTTTTAGTTTTATTTTATAGATTTGTATAAAGAAAATTAGTACTTAAAAAGCAATAAAAAATTAAACAATGCATTTACACTAATGTATATTCTTGTTATCCATCCTATGAATGCACACTTAAAAAAATTTTAGAACTTGTCATTAATATAAAGATATCTTCAATATTAAACAAACAGTCTTTACTTTACTAGTTATATTAAAAGGCTAGAAGATTGTTTTAAGTAAATGGCAAAATGTGGTTGATATCTTAAAATAAAAGTTATTAGTTTTCACTAATACAAATTTATTCCAAAAGTAATAAATACATCATACCAAATTAAGATACAAGCTAATTGATAAACATTATCATTTAAACAAAAAGTGATTACAACCTACATACTGCAGATTAGATGAGAAAAGAACAATAACATAAATTATCTAGAATGCTTTTAATACATTTTCAATTAATGTGATACACAGATGACATTTAATGCACAGAAAATCCTAATTTCACGTAGGTTGATTAAAATGAAAAATGTCATTGCTATGCACATACCAATGATGGACGCTGTTTCTGTTTTAGCTGTCTCTGATGTCTTCTTCTTCCAGACCAACTTCTGTTACATAAAATTTTATTTTAAAATGAGGAAACATTTAAGGCATTGTAAAAGAACAGAATTTTTTAAGTGAATATAACAGGCAGAAAAACTAATAGCTAATACACATACATTTGGATACATTTACGCACAAAAAATATATATTAGCCAAATTGGAAAGTAATTTTAAACTTTTCAAAATTAGAATTTAGTACAAGCCAAGCATTAGTTTAAGTGCACTCACCAATTTTTAATGTAACTTCAATGAAAGGTTTTTTATGTACACTATTGCTGGGTAGAATGAAGCTTCACAAATTAAAGTTTAAAATACAGTAGCCTCCCAATTAACTGGGTTAATAATATCAAGTGCAATATTCATGGTTAAACCAACAGTAGTAGTAAGAATGAAAATAAAAATAAATGAAAGGATTCAGATTTTAACATCACACCAAAGAGTTTGTAAGATTTTTTATGCTCTCGTTTTCTATCTGCTCTTGGACTCACTTCTGCTAACATAACTTTTTTTTTGCCTTTTTAACATTATTATTAGGCATTACTTACTTTGCATTTAGTCCACATAAAATTCACCAGCAATACCACAAAACTTTATTTAAAAATAATAATAATATTTGAAAGTTTCAGATTTTACATTACGCCCAAAGGGGTGCTTTTTTAACATCTTGTGTGTTACCTTTATTTATTAAATATCATGTTCTTTGCACTTAAACTATGAAATTTAATTCAACAACAATATCACCAAATAATTTTAAAATGCGCATATCTCTAGAATTTCTGATACACAATCTCGTACGTTGGAGATAATGTTTTTTTTTTTTTTTTTTTTTTTCTCCATATAACGAAATTTTTGAGTTTGTTAATCAAAAATTCGTTAAAATGCTGCAAAATATGAAATTAATAATAAAACAAATAATAAATTTCAAATTACAGCTTCCAGAAGCCCATATTTGGCAAAGGATTACATTATTCAAAATTTGAAGTCTCAAAGAACTGTTGTTTTACCACAATGCGAGAAACATACATACATTTATGCAGATTCTTCATCTTTTTAATTTCTTTAAATATAGCACAGAGCAATAATATTTGGTGATAATAATTTGAAAAGTGAAATGGACATTTAAGGTTTTCGACGTAAAATGCAAAAGCGAAATTAATAGCTCTTCTGAGCTATGTGACCACCAAAATACTTGCTATAAAAAAATACATAATGCTTTTTAATAGATCTAGCTAATGCAGTTTCATGAGTCTGGCTGGTAATTAATAAAAGGCATAAAGAAGTCCATTTATTTGTTTTCAAATTGCCTATTTTGATAATCAGTAACAGGTAGATTAAAAGAGAAATTAAACATTTTATGCTTCCCCATATGGCAACAAACTGGTAAGTGGAAGTTAAAAATATTTTACATCAGATGTCTTTAGAATTCCTAATAAAGGATTAAATGTTGCCATATTTTTTTATGTTCATTATATTATTTCTTTAGACATGGCCTAACATTTAATAGCAAAACCTTTTTATTTGTGTGACAGGATATTTTTTAGTACTATTCCATTAAAGTGGCATCAGTTAAAAATGCACCACTTAGTAATAGAGTAATAGTAATAGTAACAGAGTTCGTAAAACAAAAACAAAAACAAAAAAAAAAAAAAAAAAAAGGTGGGTCTTCCCTAAAAAGTTAATTTTTTAATCTACAATATCCTACAGATAAATAAAAAATAGCAAAACAAAGAAAAATTCAATCAAATATGTGGCATAAAATTACAAATATCATTCAAGATTGCAGAAAAAATTACAGATTTTGAATATTACTGATGCCACATGAATTCTATCAAATAGGTGGCGAGCAGTGTCCCACTGACATTTATTTCTCTATTTAGCACTGCTCCACAGTTTGGGTATGGCATCTAGTTTTGGGGGTCTACAAATTAATAACTGTGATTCACAGTGAAATGTTCATACCCAGCATTTCTTAATTTCTCTTTCTTATATCCTTTCCATCAATCTGAAAACATGGTGCTGCCATTTGCAGTGTTTTCCTGAATGGCTGTCATCAATCTTGTTGCACAACGATCATGAATGGCAACCACAAAACATTCTTTGCTTTCCCAGTATAGACCCACAAATACCCTCTATTCCAGGAGAACACTTCCAACATTGCTTTATCTTTTTGTGAAAAGACTTTAAAGTATTTATTCCAATCTACTATGGCTGATTTCTAAATGAAGTTGGCAAAATTCAGTCAATGTACCACAGATAGTAAAATGAATAGCAGATGAGGAGAGAAAGACGAGGCCTTCAAACCATGTTTTGGGTCTCAATCCTGTTTTCAACAGCAAGAACGTACGTAACAACATCATATGAGAGCTTCGTTTGAGTCAAAAGTTAACTTCATCTGAATATTTTGAGAATAAAGCCTACTGCTATGAATTTTTCCTTTGCCCTGAAAGAATATTATGGCAGCCTCTTCGTCACTAGGCAATTGCGAGATTGTGTAATCCATCGTATTAAAAAAAAATGACAATATGTGGTAAAAAAATAACAAATGATGATATTTCAAACAAGAACTAGAAAACTCAAGCCATGATATTTCAAATAAATAAAAATTAAATAACGAGTGACAATATTTCAAACAAAAACCAGAAATCTCGACCCACGATATTTCAAACGTTAAATTCTAAAGCCATATTATTTGATACTTGGTGTATTGTTATTATTTGATACTAGATATTTGGCGTGTTGTTGAAGCATGGTTTTCTCACTTTTTTTTAATTTTTTTAACTGAGGGTGCTCTAACAGAACAGTACCTATTTTTTAAATATTACATTTAAAATAATATACAATATTTTAATTATGTATTATTTCTTCAAAATATATTATATATTATTTCTTTAAAAATAAAGCATAAAGATAATATCTGATAGCAACATCCTATGATTTGTGTTCCCATATTTTTTATATTCACTACATTGTTTCTTTAAAAATAATACATGACAACAGCATTTAGTGGCAATGATTGAAAAATGATATGAACCAAAAAAGTGAGGCTAATAGCAGCTCTAGTGCTAGAAAGAAGGAATAAACCATATTATAATTAATAAAAAATACTAATTAAAGTATTAATCATCATTCAAAATCATCATTCAAAACAAGAACATATTTCAAAAGAGAAAAAAACTAAATTTTTCTTTAAATTTTCTTGTATCTTGTACGAGTCAATGGAAACAGGAAAATTACTGCCTGTACATTTAAATTATTTTTATAGTTTAGCAATTTATTTTAATGAATGATTTAACAATGCTTATGTTGAGTGATACACCTCCCCTTTGATGTATTTTCTCTTGGAGAAGTCCACAGAATGAACAGATTTTGTTTCCTTTCTTGTGAACCATACCATGTTGCATAAGTTCCCCTAAGGATTATCAACATGGCACTGAAAGTAAAGCATCGATCACAACGAATTTTGGTTTCTTTTTTTTTTCACCCAAAACAATATACTAAAAACCCTTGATGAAATAAGAAACTGATTACAAATTAAATATGCATTCTAGGTCCATGTCCATCTTCATTATAGCTGGGCAAAGTTAATAATATCCAGTGACTCTCGACCTCTCAGGCAAAAGTCCCAACTCCTGCAGTCCTAGATCACCTCTCTCCCTTTTTCTTGCTTCCATCTGAAGAAAACCCTTTAGACCAGCCATGTCACATTCTGTCTTTGCAGCTCGTTCTCAGAAACACCGAAAACTGTCAGTGAGTCTCCAGTCTCTTTTCACTGATACTTGGAAACTTTCTCTCACTAGGCTTTTCTACTGGGACTATGGGCATTACAGCTTATATATTCCAGATTATGTAAAATTAAACTGCATATTTTACAAATAAAATTAATTCCTAAATATTGTAAAATCATCTGCTATCACTGCTATTATCCCATGAATGTTCTTAGACATTTTGCACTATGGAAATTTTGATTTATTTATTGATAGTAATTTTCCCTTCATTCCACAATAATAATTTTTTTTAAACCTGGGCCTGGTTAACTGACAATTAGCTGCATGTACCTACAAATGCTGAATTGATTGACCTTTGCAATATGACACAATAATAATGATGTGAATAATGGGTCCAATGTTGACATTGAGAATGAATTATAATAATTTGTGGATGGTCTTTTTGGTCTAAAAACAAACAAAATTCCTAATAAAGTAAAAAATTAAGTGAATACTTAATGCTTTCAAAAGAATTGTTACAGAAAATGTGAAAGTGAAATCTTTGAAACAAAAGCAGACTTTTAATATTAGATTTTTTTTTCCCTAAACAATAATTTGGCACACTATCTTTTTTTTTTTTTTTTTTTTTTTATTCCATAAATACACTTTGTATATAAAATATCCTCTCCTAATTCATTCTACTGAAATTCTTATAATGCATATAAAACATATTTACTTCATTCACTCTACTGAGATTTTCAGTGCTTCTTAATTTAATAAAGAATCTTATTTTAACAAATTTTGTCAAATATTACAAGAAATTCATAAGTCTGGATTATTTGTAATACTTTTTAAGTAATAAATAACATAATTAAATTTGAAATCAAACTTAAATGCGTAAAATTGCTAACATTTTCTAAATTTCCATAACATTCCTTTACCATGAGAAAGCTGTTGAATATAAATAATTTAACCTTGTGTACTATTCCTACATAAAATATGATCTACTGTTCAGTTTTCTGATATGCAATATTTTTCTATGTGAAATAAATTATTACTGAAGTTAATATATCAGAAACAATACTTACATCCTAATATTCTTAAAGGTTTCACACAGCGTACTGCAATATATGCATAAAAGTGTAAAAATTCATTTTTTGCTAAAGTATTTTACTCATTTCATCCAAACAGAATTTCCTCATTTAGGCATTTTACTCTTCATGACTTTTTATTATTTTTATGATGAAAGATATTAAATTATAAATTTAATTCCATGCCTTCCTGTCTGTCATTTTAACATTACTACTCAGACTAATTCACAAATCAAAATTTATGATGTATTAAGGTTAGTTTGTTATATCTTTAAAATGGTAATGACTGGAGGGAGTTAGTTGCCTAGTTAGCGGAAAAAATAATAAAAGTTTTATTTTAAGATTAATTTTAGCAAGATGATGGCAGGAGAAAAGTTTAGAAGTTATTGCAATATTAATACATGTAGTTGATATTTTGATATAATTTACTAACCTAAAGCGTTTAACTGTGATTGTTTGAAATTCAAACCTTCTCTGGCAGTATTCTCTTACAGCTAGATAATCTGTTAATAAAAAGAAGAAAGTTAATAACATACTTTAATTTTTTGAATAAAATCAATTCTATCTCTTATATTGTATGTTTATTTTACCTAATGAACCACTTTCTTTATTGTCCTTTACACTTTCTAATTTTGCAGATGGAAATACATCATTTTTATCTACAAGAAAAGAAACATTAATTATGTTAACTGAATGAAACAAAATATTGAGAAATAGATTTAATTTGATTTTTCTTGATACAATCTATTTATTTGATGAAATGAAACTGGTCATAAACCAATGTATTATATACTATAAATGTATCATTGGATTTCAAAACATATTTTTAACAGCATAACATAAACAATAATAACTTATACATGAAAAAAAAAAAAAAAAAAAAAAAAAAAAAAAAAACTGGAAACTCAGGAAGTTTTTTTTACACATAATGAGCATTTTATGATTCCCCACTGATTATGCAACACACATTCAAGTAATATTCAAGTTCAATCTGTATCTTTTGTGGAATGACACCCAGGTCTCCTGATTGATGCTGTATGATCATTTTCTTTAGGGGTAAATTTAAGATTACATTTTTGTATATACCCTCTGCCAACAACACTAGTATAGCTCAGAGAATGCACCAGTGTTGCCAAGTTGGCTATTTTGAAAGGGTAATGTTATAACAGTTTGGGCCCAAACTCAGTTACCACTTAGATATATGTCAGAGACCAATGGAACACACATAAAATATTATGTTGCACAACAAAAACTTTTCTGTCTCTTTTCATGTATCAACTATTACTGTATTCATTTAAAAGTGCATGTTTTTGAAATTCAATGAGTTGTTTATAACAGCATTGGATTATGTTACTATTTCTAAACAGAAGGACTCAAGCTTTTCTACATTAAAATTGTGGTGCAACTAAGAATATAAATTCCTTATTTTCCTACACTCCTTTTATACTGCAGCTAATTTTTTTAATAGTTTTTCTCCTTTTTCCCTCAGATCTCGCTTTAATTTTATATTAATTTTTCATTTTAGTTTTCCTACTTTTGGATCTCTTTCATAATTCAGTTATATTATTACAAAATCTAATTTTAAATCAATTTTATAAAAAATAAATTTTTAAGAAATGCAACACATTTAATAACGCAATTAGGATATTTTGAAATTATAGCAGCTCAGAGTAGAATACAACAAAATCCTATAGCCTGAATATGCATATTTGATGAATATGATTAAAAAAATTCAGCATTAAGTTTAATCTAGTTTATCAGGACAATCAGATTAGAAATATTGCATATGAAATTGCATATTCTGCTAAACAAGCCTCTTTGGCTGCCTATAAATAATTCCAAAAGTTTAAATTTTAATTTTTAAATTAATGAACTTAATATTTTTTCCACAACTAAATGGATGGCTCACATGCTATTTTGCTTCTAGCCATTATGTTAGCCAGTAGGAAGTTATTTACTACCTAGCCAACCACAACCCAAAGGCAGGGTTGGCAAAGCAAGTCAATTGGGCATCAATTTCTGTGTATTAGTGGAATTACAATAATAGTTTGCTTACAGATGCAGTTCCACATACATTATGTGGAATTGGAATCTACAGACACTGGAATTTTAAAAATCTTGAAAACAGAATTTTACAGGTATTTACAGTGATGTTTTAACAGTTGTAGTTCTGGAAGACAAAATGTGAAGCTGTGTTATTAGGTGTTACAATTATTAAAATGTTTTACAGTTATTATAGAATTGGTGTTTACAGTCTTTAATGTTTATGGTCTTTTCAGTCTTGAAAGGAGTTACAAATCATTAAAGTTATTATGTCTATATAGCTCCATGAATGCTGGGAGCAACTGGCACTATTTTTGGTCATTACTTGTTTTGATAGTTTTGACTGTAGCCTTGCCATAATGTGACAGTTGTGTAGGCACGACTCAGGTTGCCACTGATACCACAGCAGCACATGTTCATTTCTCTTTTACCAAATCTGTGTAGATATGCAGGGGTGGGGCAATGATGTGCGACTTAGCTGCATTTAATCTTGACCTTAAGTGGAAACCTTCAGAAAATATTTATAGGTCACTCAACCTACCTTAATGTTGTCTCAATTCTCTTGCCATTCTGATATGGTTTGAACATTGTTATTGTTTTAGAGGTGAGACACTGGATTTTGAATACAGATGTGATGCATTCTCAGATCTGCTATAGAGGCTTTCATTAATTTATCCATGAGCTCATTTCCTTATATTCGAATAATGTGGGCTTTTACCCATCTCTGTTTAATCTTTCTTTTGCTGTGTGCAATAAGATGGCAAATATCATGCAAATTCTGGTTCTGCCTTTACCTGTTATTGCCAAAATAACAAAGAAACTATCTGAGTTGATCTTGGTTTGTGTTCAATATGCTGGTGCACATTTAGCTGCTCGTCTAATAGCCATCAACTCTGAGTAAAAAAATAAAAGAGTTAACAGAGTGTAATTTAGCACTCCAAATGTATACAGTCTGATTATTTTGAATAACAAAGAAAGCACAGGTTGTGCCTGTGTCCATTTTGGAGCCATGTTGGATATTATACAGGGTTCTGTATAATGCCCAAATATTTATACCTTGAATTAGTCATTATAATCTATTTATTTCCTTTAGGGTCAGCCTAAAAGAAAATAAAGACATTAAATGCTTTAAATTAAAAGTGCTTGTTTTTATCAGGAAGCATTTAGAATGATTTCATAGAAGAAGTCTTCAAGTTTATAGCTTCCTGATTTTGTTTTATTTCATGATCTCAACATCATGTGGGTGCTCTTTACATCTCTGATGCATATGGTCACTAATCAGAGAGCAAAAGTTTTTGTGTGTACTCTAGTATACAAAAGTAAACTCTGTTATTGTTGTACAAGAATGCTTTAGAGCATGCAAAGACCAATCTATTTTGTACTGAAGCAAGAAATTTGAGGAAACTGGTTGTCTATCCAAGAGGGATAATCCTGGGAGAGCACTTGTCCCAGAAGAAATGGGGATATCGTGCTTGAGACTTAAACTTGCAGATTGAAGAAGTTACCCACACAAGCTAATAAAGAACTTTGAAATTCCACAAAAGACAATGGAATATATTCTATAAACGTTTCCAAATGCACTTCCATGGATATGTAGTGAAGTGACAACACAATGAAGAAAAAATGATATCTTTGATCAGCTAATCTTTAGTGATGACTCAACTTTCTACATTAATGGTAATGTAAACAAACATAACATTCATATATAGCTAAAAGAACAAGAGCTGTAGTGTGAAATGTCTACACTACAGCTCTAAAGGTGACTTAAAAAAAGTTAATCAACCATTCTTTTTCTTAGCCATGTTACACAAATGCCAGATGCTTCAACTAAAAGACTACAATAATTATTCCATATTTGCAAGATGACACTCTGCTACAATGATAGCAGGAAGTCACAAATCACTCTATGCTGGTCACCAAAGAAGTCTGGATTGAAAATCCTCTGACTATTTCCTGCAGGTACATTAAGTACTGAGTCTTTGTTCTCTCTTTTCTACAAGGTTCATTGGTCTTATACCTCACAACAACAAGTCTTGACATGCTGAGATGTATATAACAGAAACTTGACTAACACATTGACACTATGTGTTACAAAAGGTCCGTACATAAAACAATTATAATTTAACCATGTAAACTTCAGAGCCTATTTTTCTAACCATGCAAGTATATCAGTTGTGGTACAAAAACTCTTTCATCTCTGAAACTTTTTAATGTCTTTGCAAAATGAAAAAAATTTAAATCTTGTGAGAGGCTGGTAGTGGGGAAAGATGAACACAAAAGCATCAGATTCCATACTCTGAGATTTTTGTCAAAACTGAGATAAAAGCCTTGAGCATATAGCTCATATGCTTTTGTGTTAATGTACTTTCTTTTTTAAAAACATGTTAATAATTTAGTGACTGAAGAAACATGAAAAGCAGGCTGCATATTAACATATTTTTGTTTTTTCAAAAAAATTAATAAAAAGTAAATTTTTGATTTTTAAATTTTTGACTTAGAAAGATGCTATAACATTCTTTCCAAGAAAGAGGCATTTTTAACCTCACATCTGAATTTGCAAAAATGGATAAAATGAAGAAATTATCGTAAAAAGTTGCAAGCAAAGTTCTAACAACTGATTCACTGACTCCAGAATACCATTTGTAACAGCATTACAATTTATTTTATTGGTGGGCTGATGAACTGATGTGAATTAAATGGTGTGAAAAACAATTCAATCATTGCAAAAATATGAATATTGACTGGAACAGTTTTGTGAATGCAAGAAGTAAATTCTATATATTTAATTTAACAGCCAAAATTAATGAAGTAAATGAAAAGGGCCTGAAAAATTGTAGAAAAAGACAAAGTCTGTTCCTCTGGCAGAAAAACAATGCCACAAAAGTGGCAAGCACTCACTAATTTCTTAGCAGATTATACCAAGAAATTTGTGAGTGCTTTCTTGTTCGGTTCCAAATAAAGAGGCAACCAAACTCGTGGCAAAAATTGTGGATCACATACAAGAGGAACTGATAATTTATTCAAACTGTTGGTGAACATACAAAACAGAGAAACTTGAAAAAGCACAGTATGTTCAATTTTCTGAGAATCATGAATTCCATTTTGAGGATGTAGAAATGGATGTTTATACATAATTGTTGAAGGACAGTAGGACTATGCTAAGTGACAAAATAAAAAGCAACCAGGTACGGCTCCTCATCATATTATGTTCTATCTTGTGAAATTCGTGTGGCAAAAATTCTCAGAATGAGAAAATCCTTTTGATGGCATATTAAAAAAGCAATTGCAGAAATATGTCGACCAAGAACTCTATATGAGATGTAAACACAAATTTTGCAATAATCTTGGTACCACTATGGTGGATGCCATAAAGATTAGAAAGTACCAAAATGTTATAAACCTCTCATATTTTTCAACAATATAGTAATAAAATTTCTAACACAAAATTTGAGTTTTGTATAAATCAATTATTTCATTTGAGTTTCATTTGCAAAAAAGAGCAGTGTTACAAAAATTCAATTTTTACACTGATAAAACTGTCACTAAAGTAATATAAAGCTGGCACTTTTAGCTGAATTCCGAGCATTCCTAACATTCAGCAGCTAAAATTAATTCTATCTGTTCCAACTTCTAAGGTTTGCTGGTTGACACAAAGGGTTGTTTCTATATTTTGTGCAACAGGATTAATTATGAAATTATGTATTAATGTTTGAAATATTTACCTTTATAATTTAATTTAGTGTAAACTAAAGAACACTGGTTTCCCCTCTCAAGATGAACAGGTTCACTTTATCTGAAATAAAAGGCTGTAGGTGTTTTCACAATTTATGATGCTCTTTATTGTGCTTAGGATTGACTGCAACACCATAACAATGTGTTAAAATGTATATATATCACTATAGCTCCAGTTTCAATAGCCATTTTATTTCAAGCGATTTTTAATTCCATTCTGTTCATACAAATATAAAAATTAATGAACACATTTGCACAGCATGATTAATGGAATTCTTACTCAATTTTGATAATATTAAATGCTTAACTGAAATTAATTAGCTATTAAATTATTGTTCTCTCTCTCTCATTCTCTTTTTGCATATTCTAAATAATTAAAAATTAGACCTGCATTCAAGAGATTCAAATCAGCTATAAGATAGCAAAAAATCATTCAATTTTATCATTCATGCTAAAAACTGTCTAATTTAGTTTTAAAACAATAAAAGAGAATTTTAATATTGAAATAAAATTGTATATGAAAACTAAAATCAGACCTTCTGTATTCTCTGAATTTTCTGGAACCTCAGTCTGCTGCTTTTCTTTTTCTAACTCTTTCAAATAATGTAAACATGGAATAGCAGATACAGGAATTTCATGCTTCTGAAAACACAATATAAAATATCACAAATTAATTCAGTAATATTTAACATAAATTTATTGCACAATGTTAACAAAATATGAGAAACAATTTGTAAAAAATTCTAACCTACTACTTACCCTAGTACTACCTGGGCCCAAAAAATATGGTTTTGAAACAGAGCACACTCTTGTCTGCTTATGCAAATATATGGGCATTCCACTGTTATGAGTGACTTCTATCCAGCCTTCTGGTAAGACATCAAAATGATCTTTTCCCCTTACTGAAAAAAATTTACATCATTACCATACATCACTTATAATGTAATATATTAACTGAATTTATACATACATTTATTTTTATGTCAGAATGAAGGAAATACATGCTAATTAAAACTTTTAAACATTATTAAAAACAATATTTATTTTTTATAAGTTTTTGTAATCAAGCCAAATTATAAACAACCTGTGAATGTTAACCAGATGTTGATTTGTCAGTAACTGAAAATGGTGATTCTTAATTCATACCGATCAAAACAGGTTACTTATCCTTGAAATGAACGCACCACTTTTATAACTAGATTTAGGCCAAATTAAACATTTGGACTCAGCATCCATCATCTTGATGATATTACATGCAGAAAGATTATGGAAATGCTCACAACCACGAAAATTACACTTTGGTTTGGAATTATTGTTAAAATGTTATTCCAGGCTTTATTCCAGGCTAAAATGTTATTCCAGGCTATTTGAAGTGAATAGCATATATTCTAGATCCACTGGAAGAGACTGTTTTATATTAACAGCTAAATGCAAACTGACTTTACACTCCAACACACTTTCAAGCCACCTCTTTTACAGCACAGGAACCCAGATATCCTACCAAACCATTATTCGATGATTGAAGCACATAGGGCTATCGACTAAGTTGTACTATCCAATGAAATGGCACTATGCAGCAATGCTTCAGTATTTTGCTTTCTGATGATAGTTGATTTAGTTTGCAATTCAATTGTATCTGGAATCTAGCATGAAAGAGGTAAAGCAAGTAGGGTGCAACATCATTACCGATGGATATATTAGATACAGATGCAGAACCATGGAAATTAAATAAAAAATTAAGGTTTTAGAGCAACACAACTGCATTACTGATTAATAGCTTCTTATGTGATGGCACCAAGTTAAAAAAAAAAGAATTTGGATACTTTCTCAGACCCCCAACTGTCAGGTTATGTCAATCAAAGTTTACAGCTAATTTTTTTGTAATTTCTGCAAAATATCAGTCTCTAACTGACCACATCTCAGGTATGTTCAAGTGATCATATGCTTGGTGAATGGGTAAGAACAAGAAGAAGGGGTATCTACGATGCTGAGAAAAAGACTTAACCCTCTATGAGACCAAACAGTACATATGAATACAAAAATATTAGTCACAACATCATATAGGTATACATCTTAAAATGTGTCTAGGCAATTAAAATAATTTATATATACGGAAAAAAGGGGGAAGTGTCAAAGTTTAATTTAGAAAAGTCATTCAAGAACTTTAGAATTTTGGGGACAAATCCTTAGTCACTTGATGGGTTAAGACATTCCAGATAGCATATGGAAAGACATGATTTTGTTGGAATATTGTCCAGAACTGTGAAGGAAAGTTATGATCGCAGTCTCTGCAATGTTCTTGGTCTATCTGAACTAGCTAGGATCACTTGTGATATAAAGACTGGTATCCCATACAGTCATGCCTGTTTTTTTGTCCAGTATGCTAAAATGCTGCTGAAAGATGGTGCATACTGTTTAATGCATCCTTTCACAGGCATGACTGTGGAGAGGTTGAAGGTTTGGCTACTTCACTAACTCCAGAGGAGATATGATGGATACCTTTATTTGCTCTGCTGAGTTCTTCAGTGGAGAGATGCATTCGTTTCTTCTCATGTCCTGGCTTTTATGAAAGGCATGCAGCTCACCATCCCTTAGCAACATTCGGTCTGTAGGCAAGCATGAGAAATCTGTCAGCAGTAGAGATATGGCTACCATCACTGGCTAGGACTTGTCCTTGACTAGTTTCAAATATACTCTGTGACGAAGTTCTTTTGTGATAAGCAGGTCTTTACAGGAAACATGACTTGCTGCCAGTCTGCATGCCATTGCAGCCTGAGACAATGCTAAATCTCAGTCATGAGAATCTCCAACAAAAATACCATAAAATCATGAGTACAGCATATAATATCAAATTCATAAAATTTGATACCTTTAAAATACTCAAAAGAAAGCTCCATTGTTCATTACTATCATGTGGACAATCACCCCACAGTGTTGTCACATTCTGTGGCCCATTGCCAAAATTTTGGCTTGTCCAGTTCTTCCCACCTTGTGCCTTCCCCACCTGTATGGCTGACATGATGTTATTCCTTATACCAGTAACAATGTAAAAACAAATGAAAATCCCTCTTCATAACACCTAATAATTAGTCTTCACTGCAATTTTGCAAGTGGCTTATATGGTGCTTATCAGCATGAACAAAGTAACTCAGACTTCTACCGGACAGTTGCTTGCTCCTTGATGGAAACATATTAACCATCCATTTCCTTGACAATCCTCTGTTTATTGCTTCACTTGTTCATTCAGAGCATTCTATTGAGTCCAGACACGACATCTGATCTCCATTTTCAATCATAATCAGGTTCTATTTCTCACTCTTCATAATTTTAAGCTATTATGCTTGTTTCTTCGCAGTGCTTTAATTCTCACACATATGAGTATATTTTTAAATACTTAATACTATTAGTAGTATTGAAAGGAAAGTCATAATTTTACTAAATGAAATTTGGATCACTAACTCTATTAAAAGGAAATCAGTATTTTATCTTAATCAATTCCACAAAATTTTGCAGTAACAAAGAAGGGAAAATATTTTTATGCCTCTGGAGAAATTTACACATAGTTACACATAGATATGCAAGCATGCAAAAATAAAAATTCATTCATTTGCTTACCTTTTAAAATTACCTTTTGTTTTTCTTCATGTTCAAGATCATTATCCCCACCGTCATTTTTAGTAGAACGTTTTCTATGCAATAAACTAGCATCAAGCATGGCATCAATTTCATCCAATGACAGGTCAGAATCCTCTTCAGAATACCCATCTTCCATATCATTGTCATTACTCTCAAATTCATCCAATATATCAAATTCCATCATTCCAGTAGTCCCACTATAGAAACAAATACTTAATTTTATACCATTTTTAAGTATTATAAAACTTTATAGATAGATGATGTATTAAAATTTAATATGACTCAAGAAACAAATGTAGGTACATGTTGAATTTTCTTGATATCTTTTAACACTTTTATAGCTAAAATTATAAGTTCAAAATAATGGTTTCAGGATTTATAAAATTGAATATAAAAGGAAAATAAAGCTGAAATTTAAAAAAGAATTAAGATTTTTTTCTTATATAATAATCAAATGAATTAAATGATTGGTATACTGGTTTTAAATTATAAAAATTAGCTGAATGGCAAGTTGACAAAGTGCCGACTACAACAGAGATAAGCATTTGCAATTTGAAATTTATATAATAAACAATTCATTTTTTATTCACTCTTAAATGAAAACAAAAGTATAATTCAGTAATAAAGCAAAAGAAATCAGAAGTCTCTACAACATTTTTCAGATAACTATACAATTTACAATATTTTTTATATACTCAAAACAAAGTACCCAGGTGAGAAGCTACTCAGTAATCACATCTTTTATTTACTGTAAGGATTAGACTACTAGATTGATTCACATTCCTACTGTTTAATGCATCTCTATTAAGTACAATTCAGTATAATTTTGTAAGGCAAATATTTATAATACAGATATATACTGTGTAGCTGTATGACACTAAGTTTAGGATATATTGTTAAAGTCTAGTATTTAAAAAAAAAAAAAAAAATCAGAATTCAGAAATGAGTAGCAATATGTCTTATTGGATTTTATTTTTGACTATATGACATTTGTTGCAATCCCTTTCCCACAAATGATTCATCAAGTTTCAAAATATTGTATTTAGCGTTGGGAGGGGGGACATGAGAACTGTATGAAATCAAGTTAAAATCTTTCAAGTTTCAGTCAGAATACTATAAATGCTTGAAGTGTATTTTCTTGTTATATGGCAAATGTCCAACATGCCTATATGCCTTGGAATATTTCATCCTTGGCAATCATCAAAACAGCTATAATGGCACCATGAAACTCCTCTGATACTGTTGGCAGTGAAGGCACATACACTCTCTTAATTAAATTAACAAAAGAAAAAAATCACCAGGTGAAAGATCAGAAGACTTCGATGGCTGTCTGAACACAGCTAAGCCAAGATCATCACTCAGGTAATAATGTACTTCATAATGAGGTAGAACTTCATCTTACTACTGCTCTATGAAATTTTAACTCAATTATCCTTTCTTTCATTTGTACTGCCTTCATGCACACTGCATAGCAACACTGGATGAACACTTTGCATACTATATAATATAAACTGAACATTTTGAAAGAAGAATTCATATCTGTTACACAATATACCACAAAAAAATCTGTATGTATGCAGATTTAAATATTTTTCTTTTAATGAAATAATAAATGTACATTGCATTAATGAAAATGTACATGAATATTAATATTGCATATAATCCATAACTTAGAAATTACTGGATTTCAAAACCAGAAAACTCACTTCGTAAAATCTTTTGTGTATTCAGCAAATCTTTTTCCTAATTTTCAATTTAATTAATGATTTAAGAGGGAAATGCAAATGTTACACAGTTTTAGAATTTTATTCGGATTCACAAATCCATCTTAGTTTGTATAGAATCCATATAAGTACATCTGACACCTTTCAGTAAAATTTAAACACAATCATAAACATGTCTCTCAAAATTCTAATGCTAAAATTATTTTTGTAAGAATCTCTTTTTGACTGACAATAATAAACACAGTATTTTTTAAACAGAAGTACTGGATGTTCTTTTTCTTGCAAACACTTAAACAGTAAAATTAAAGTCTCTAGAAAAATTTTGGCAAAGAATTTATTACATGCAAAAGTTAGATATATGTACATCTTAATTAAATGTATCTTATTTTTAATACACATTTACTTTGCATTTGATGCTTAAAGAATATTATTTCAAGCAGTTCAGTAAAATCACACAAAAAGATTATACATTTGATGAAAACCCTTATTACTTTGAAAGAAATATACATTTTTGTAATCATGATATCAATTTAATAATTAAATTCTATTGAATTTATTTTACAGACACAATTTAATTAGTACAGTCCCTAAACCTCAGCTCTTCTGTCACTCTTGCAACTGCATTGTAATATCGATGAAAATTAACAAAACAAAAAAAAATTATACCTAAACTTCTAGAACTTTGAAAATATCCCGCATAATATAATTTGCTACTTCTACAATGAATAATTCAAAAATTCAAATTTAGATAAGTGATAACTAATTCCTCTAAATCCAAGCAAGTCAGCATCTTCTATTTAGTATAGAGATTTTTTAAAAAAAATAAATTTTAGAAAAAAAAAAAAAAAAAAAAGGAGGGAGGATAAAAAAAAACCTTTATGCATATTAATATTACCATTTTTGTGTTAATTTGGTGTGCAATCAGTTAGTATATTTCAAATACATTTATTATAATAAAAGTGTATGTTGCTAAAATAAAATGTTGTTATCGGAAATGAAGATACATTTCTAATGACGGCTAAATACTTCTTTACAAAACATTAAAAACTTAAAATTATTAAACTTTATTGAAATTTTCAATCTATAAATTTAAAAAAAAAGTATTCACGCAATTACATTTTGCCACTTACATTACATACTTAACCTTCTTTGGAATCTTTTATGCAGCTTTTCCTAACCTCATTAAAATACAACATATAACTAGACAGTTTGAATCAGAATGATGATCAGAAATCCAATAAAAACATAACATATATTACTAAATTCACATATTCATGAAAATAACTTATTTTTAATATTTTCTAATTACATTACACCGAATTCATAAAAATTTATTATGAAGTAATATAACTACCTCCTTTTTTGTATAAATAATATATTTATCAAGTAACTTTTAAAATTAAGCCAAAATTCCTACATTAAATTAACAGTTTCAAACAAAGTATTAACACAAAAATAACATTTCAGATTTCACTGAATGTTCTTATATTTTGCTATTTTGGACTGGACTTGAGAACAAATTACAATGATTCCCAAAGGAACCTATAACAAACAGCAACCTGCATAATGATTATGTGAGGCATCCTATATATAACATACTGATAAATTTATTCGAGTATTTTTATGTTTGGAAATATATTTTGAAATGGATTTATAAGATATTTCTCCCACCTTCTTAGCATGCCTTTGTAGTGTAATAGCCCGTTTGGTGTGTATTTGAGTCCCAGAGAAATTGCTCAATTTTCAGGTCTCCTGCTTCGAAATAACCTAATGTCTCTACAGTGGTGTCCAAACTAAAAACAGTGGTGAATGATAAATCTCTACCACTAGGATTTGGCAACTGGGTCATCTAATAACCAGTCGTCTTTTAAAAGGGGGTATATTAGGTATTGCTCCCTATTTTTCAGCATGCCTTTGTAGTGTAATCGTCAGCATGCTCTGTGCATATTCGAGAGGTATGTGGTTTGAGTCTCAAAGAGGGTATTGCTCATTTTTCATGTCTCCTGCTTCAAAATAACCTAATGTCTCTACTGATTAATGCACAGTACATACAAAGAGAATGTCATATTCTCATGTTCACAGTTTACAGAGGAAGTAAAGGCAACAAAATTAAATTCCTAAATGCACACCAAATGACAAAGATGAAACAGGATAGCTCTGACATGTCCAATACTTTCTGTCTTCTCACAATAAGCCTAATCATAAGCTCATTTTCAGACTGATGTAAACAATTACAATTATATGAAAATGGCCACTTGGTGTGTTTTCAGTTTAGAAGTTACTTTTCAGATTTGTGCGTTCCTTTGCTGATAATGTAGCTTTATAATTACAAGTATTTATTGGCATGGGATCACAGTTATCTAATTCCTCACTCACTATTTCCATTAAATTTACCTTTGCCTGCTTCCAGTATTCTACCAGTTCTTATTAAAGCTATTTTAACCATACCTTTACACTGTTTTGTTAGGAAAAAGTTATGATTTTTATTTCTACCACCCCTTGAAACAATACAGTATATTATATAACAGGGTGCCCATAGCACGGCTCTCACAAGCAAGTGGTGTGCTCTTATGTAAGTAAAACTTATATATTGAAATATGATAAACTAAAACTAATCAATGTCCAAAAGAAAGTAATTTATTCGATTTGTTTTTACAAAGTCATTAGTAGTCTTCAAATTGATCAATGCGAAATGTCATTATTTTATTTCTTGTTAGTTAAGAAGCTTAATGATGTTATTCAAAAACAATTAAAAGATTAATGAATGAAAATACTGTCCAGATTCTATCAAACAAATTTGTAAAGAAATTCTTTAAAAGTTAGATTTGCCTGTGTATGCTTTATGAATATTGTCCATCTCAGCGGTTAGCTGCCAAAAGTTTGGTTGATGACTTTTTAGAGCAGTTTGCACAAGCTCAGTTAAATGCTGATTAGTTAAAACAGATTGATATTTATTTCTAATAAATTTAAGTGTTGAATACAAAGATTCACAGTATACTGAAAACTGAGATTAGTCTCAGTACACATTCTTTGATATTAAAATATTTTATTACGGATCCCATTGCTAAAATTCAGTCGTTGAACCAGATTCTATTATCACAAGAAGTGCGTTTAATTTTCTTAAAATCTATTAGGGTTTGGAACTAGTTTACACCCAAAGGAAGCCAAACTCTATAATGTAAGATAAAATGATAACTCTAATTTACAATAGTCCCTTAACTTTCCTTTTTTAATTCAGTTGTAATGATCCCAAGGACCAAACAGACACTAGCACCTGACAAGAGATCTAAATACTGGAAGCATCTGCATAATGACATTTTGGAATGACCATTTGACTTTTACAAAATAAATCCACATTTGACCCTTCAAATTTTTTTCCCCGCTTCAAGTACATTGCACCCATGCAGTGTTGCATTTTTTATTAGTGCTAGATAGATTTAATAGATAGCAACAACACAAGCAATAGCAAAGAA